GGATAAGAAGCGAGGGCTTCGGTGGCATGCAATTGTTGCCACATTTGTCGGGGGAGGAGTGGAATAATCCCCACCATTGTGACGTGACAATTGACTCAAACACGTAGCGTAAAATTCAGCAAAGGAGCTGCATCTTTAAAGCGTTAAATCCTGCAGCTAAACTGCTGAACTGCCTGAAGGTAGGAAAAGTGCAGCATTTACATTCATCATCATAAGTCACTGCCCGGACACAAATGAAATGAAATATTTGCAGAGGTGCCAGGATGGTCCGGGATATTTTTGGTAAATGGAGGGGGGCGCCATCCTCAAATAGAGCCATTCGGCTAAGCCAGCAACACAACAAAGTGCATCCACCGGGAATCGGGATCGGGCAGAGCAGGAATTTTCACTTCCCCAACTAATGGCTTCCTCCGCAGGACTCACAGGACGCGCAGCATGCAGCACGGCACTCACGTAGAGGAGCTGCAGCTCCGGCATATTTAATAAACTCGCGCAAATTAAGCGGCGGTGGATGGAGGATGCCATAAATCAACAGGTAAGAGGAGCGTGCGTCCACCTGGGAGGCAGCTCCACTATCGCAGTTCATTAACATTAGCGAAAAAGGGTGTTTTCGAGGCATTAAGGGGCAAGGACCTCAACCCATTGCTTGGTTTTTAAGTAATATGGGGATATTGTATAGCATTTCCTTACAGAAATCTAAGAACTTTAAGCCTATGTAGTGAAGAGATGATGGATTTGCGAGCTGAACTTTGAGCCACCTGTTGGCTAAGTGCAACTAGGTGGGGCAGCTGGAAAAGTAATTTATTTGGCAGCTCCCACAGGAAGCCGCCAACTCTACTTGCAGCCAAGCCAGTCAGCCAGTCAGCCACATCCGGCGCAACTTTAAGCCGCATTTCCGCTCATGCAATTTTAATTTGTCAAATGCAAGCGACGCGATGAGCGCGCGGAGGATGCTAAAATTAACTGGAAAATTTTACAATCCTGGCGAGGCGAGGCAGGATTACACGAAGTGCAAGGACATGGCACAGCAGGAGTCAGAGTCCGCTGCCGAAATGAGGATGCCGACGAGCCACTCGAATTGGACCATTAGTTTCGACGGCATTAGTTTGGCGCTTTCATGGCCCAGACGATGCAGACGAATAAATAAGAGACGAGCAGCGGAGATGCGGGAATAGATGTATATATACATATACATATATATACAGAATTGTGGAGAAGGGTTTCCGAAACTCCAGCACAAGGGCGAGTGGACCGAGACGGACCAACGAGGTTCCCCTGGCGGAATTATGCATGTAATAAAATGCGGCGGCATCGGCGGCAACTGCAACAACCCGTGCCCGGCCACGCCCACACACGCCCACTTTCGCCGCGAACTAAATTTAAGTGCATTAACATAAAGCGTTGTACTACAGTGGGAATATTTTCATTATAATCAAACTTTTCTTAAACAAATATTTATTAGCAAAGAAAATAAAATTCCATGAGATTCTTTAACAATCCTGAACAATCACATAATGGATTACAACTACATATATTGTTTGATATATTTATAAAAGGAACCAATCATTTTGGGATCCCGTTCCCCAACCCACTGTGCATGTTAGCCAGAACAAGATAAATAAACTTTTGTGGGGAACCGTTTTAGGGGACAGGGTCTCCTAAAAAAGGGGAGCTTCAGCTGCTCTGATGAGTGCAACGACTTGGCAGCAGCGCTAAGCGTCAGCACCATCGACACTTTGGCAGGAAGCATTCGCGGCTCAGACATATAGTTTATATAGTTGCGAGCGCAGGACATGGCCAGGAAACTCGTCTGGCTGGGAGTCTCCGGAGTGTGTGAGACATTAACAGACTCGTAAACTGGCAGTTGCTTGTTATGTTGATTACACAACCCGCGGAGCGTGGGAGCCAACGAAAATAAAGTTGCCAATGTTGAGCTGAATCGGAGGTATTTTCAAGAGCTCCTAAAATGTTGTGAGATGATTTCAAGGGGTTTTCAGTAAATTTAAATACTGACCATTATAATTCAGCAACCTTAAGCTATTTAAGTGTAGTGCATTTTCCAGTAGTTATCTGCTGTTGCCATTTTAGTTTATGGCGTTCGTGGAAAGCGTTTTAAAGTCATCTCGCGTAGGCTATCGCCGAGAAGTATGCAACACTTGGTGCCACGCCCCCTTCGGTACGTGCCTGTCAGGAATCACACGCCTCTCCTAACCCCCTAAACCCCACAAAACAAGTGTCAGCTGCCCTTCGGAAAAGCTGGAAGGAAGGAAGCACACACAACCGAAAGGAGGAAACTTAAACAGAAACAAACAGCGGGAAACTCGCTTGTGGCAAGAGTTGAAAGTTGAATGTCTGGCAAATGCCGCGGCAATGCCCCCGAATGCAGTCAGTGCAGAATGCATTTTCCGAAGGGGAACTTTTCACACGCAGCGCCAAATCTGCCAAAGTCACTTTTCGGTATTGTTTTTTGTTGCCTTCCAAATTTATTGCAACACTCGCTGGAGTTTCTCCTTCATCCCGAACCAAAAGAAGCCAAAGCGACGCTGGCTTTATCTCTCCGCTGTCTGTCTGTCTGTCAGAGGATATTTATCTGGCACGTTAAGTTTACTTTTGCCCCCTCAATCCACTGCCACTTCTCTTCAGAAGCAATTCTTCGCCTTTCCTCCCGCTCGTTTCATAATTTTTCGCCTCGCGGCCAAATTGTCGTCTTTATTTGCAGCATGGAAATGCTCGAACGCAATTTCCCATTTCCATTTCCATTTCCATTCCACTACACATCCGAATGGTAAACGCTGCCCGATGCGATGCGAGATTTTCCCGCATGACATTTGCGATTTTCCGCACATTTTGTACTTTATTGAACTGTTTGTCACATGACGTTTAGTATTTTGCGAGCTGCGGCAGCTGCAGGCGAATAACCTACACATGTGCCAGTGCACAGTGTGGAAACGGGGAAAACCAGCTAACAAATAGGTACAGAGGAACTTCCATAATGCCAACCTCAGCCAAGATCCTATCTTACAATTCTTGAACTTTATTCTGAAAACTATGAATTAACTAAGTATTTGTAGTTTACAATAACAAAGGTTTGCAAGTACTCCCTCCTTCGGCATTAAAAAAAAACAGCGTATATTTTCGAGTATTTCCTGTGCTGGTGGGCCAAATCATCAGCAAATTTTCATAAAATAAAAGGGGTGGTTAGATGGGGCTTTAAAGCGAGAACCGCCAGCTGACCCCCATATTACAAAGCCATGTAAACTTGATGAAAATCAAATGGAAATAAAAACGGACAGCACTCATAAACAATAATATAGCAAGCAAGCTTTCCTAAAAGGAAACTTTTTGGGAAAAAAGGAAGAAAACTTCAGCAGAGCAGCGGAGCAACTTAATAAAAACAAAAATGTATGAAATACTTTTACGACTTTCGAAGACATTTTTACAACTTGCTGGCAAGTTTGGCTAACGATATGCGAGATGCACACAGAACTCGGGATCGGCAGCTGCAGCCCAGGACTTCTGCGTCCTGGTCAAATGGATACGTCGCACCATAAAACCGAAAGTCATTTCGCACAGAACGTGTCTACACGAAAGCCCGGAGGACGGGCGAATGTCCGGCCAAGAAGCCAAAGTCATCGCAGCCAATAATAATTCCAATTGTAGTGCAGTGACAATTTTCTGTTCCTTGGCTGCGAGGATGCGCTCTTTTGGCCACTTTCGGGTACAATGTACCCCGAACAATGGTCAGAAGCAGGACTTTTATTGCCCGGCGCTGGCGTTTTAAGTGCACCAGCAAGCGGAGCAGCACCATCGGCAGTGGCAACATTATTTGGTCAATGTAGACGACATGACGCGGCCATTAAGAGCAACAAATAAGCAAACAATAACAAGGAGCCGCGCCCCGATGGCTGGGGAGAAATTAAGAAAAATGCTTAAGCTGGCTGCGAATAAGCAATACTTCCTTCTCACACTCAAAGATAATGTGATTTCACAGCACGAGAAAAAATTCTATCCTACTATCTCTTATCGGACATTATGCTAATCTCATCAACATTGGATTTAAATGTATTGACTATTAAAAATACACAGACTAAACTAAAAAACTAACAAACTATTTTTTCATAGTTGTCACTAATAAAATTGTTAATCAAGCAAAGTTGAAAAGCATTTTTATAATGAAAACTGATTTAAATACTGCAGATAACAATAGGAATGTATTCCAATTTTTCTCTGCGAGCAGAAAATGTATCTATCGATCGAGTTGGATATTTCGGTGCGATAACGATACTTAGGTTTATGAAAATTGATTGCAAATGAGCTGCTGACTTTGCTGGGCTTCGTTTGCTAAGCAAGATGGGTGGGGATGGATTCCCTTGGGGGATTGCTGATGGGGCAGCAATAAGGCATAGCTGGATTATATAGATTCACCGGCTCCGGCGAAAGACAATGTCATGCCAAATAAATAAACAAGCCGAACCTACGCGGAATCATAATTGAATCAGCGAAACTTGTTGAAATAAAAATATAGATATGAAGGGGATAGATAACGAACGAACTGAGATTTCAGCTGTCTCGCTGCCTGACCAATTCGTTTAGTTTCGCAAAAGCTAATTAGCAACTAAAGTGAAATTAAAGCAGAGACGAGTCGAGCCAACGACTAATGGTCTTTGTGTTGGAAAGCGAGGAGGGGGGAGGGTCCCGGCAAGAGGAAGGTGCTACAACTAATTAAATGCAATAAGCTATGGCAACTGCTGGACGTGAACAGGAACCGGGGTTCCAGGAGTCAGGATTCAGGACAGGTAACGCCGCCGGACGAGTGACAACTTTGTTTTGATGTGCCGGACTCTTCTGGCATCCTTCCTGCACTCTCTGCCACATCTTCTCCTACCAACTAACGAGGAACGCGTTTTAATTTGCACATTAAAGTAATTAGTTTAGCGTTAGTTGGCTGCAGTTCGTTTTAATGAGTCGCGAGTTTCGAGAGAGTTTGGAACGCCACTCACCGCTCTTGAAGGTGGCCATCAGGCGTTCGGAATCGGCTCCATGATGGCAGACAAATAGAGAAGTATCAAGTAAGTCCTTGGGCGAGTATCCCAATAAGTCACGCATCCTGAAAAATAAAAACATCAATATTAAAATGATGTTTTTCTGTCACAGTACTTCAGAAGAGTTCCACATTTTTCCCTTTTTCGTATTTCGTTATATTCATCTAAAAATTACTTAAATGTAAAGATTTTACAACCAAACTAAATTGTTGATTCTTAAAACTGTAAAATTGTATTTCACGTTTGGAGTAGAGCAATTATTGCTTGTTAAATTCATTTCGAAGTAAGCAACAAATACAATACAAAAACGGTGCCCCATTTGTTGTTGGTTTGTAGTTAACGTTACTTTACTAAAACTGATGACTTAGTGTCAGCTTCTGGCAAAGCAATTATCCAATTATTGGCTTACAATAATTGATATTATATTTATCTACTTTTTAAATTTATGTGATGGCTCAATGCTTTTCCAATTAATTTTTGGAGTACATAAAACGAAATACGAAAAGTGAAACTAAACGGGCCCACAACTGATCAACTATAGATCTCACTTGTCGTCCACGTAGGTGAAACGCATGTCCAGGGAGTGCTTGGTAAGGAAGGTGCTGGTTCCCAGAGGTATCTCAATGTTCGAGGGATGCGGAATGGGTCGGCCAATGGCCATCAGCAGGCGCTCGCCCTTGGCATTGACCACCAAGTGACCGGTGATGTGAATGACCTGCAAGCACAAGAAAAGCAGATAGTATTATTTCGGTTACCATTTAAAATCACATGTTTGAACTCACCTTGTAGGAGGCACTCTTGATGTTAATGCTGCGTCCGCGACTGGTCAAGGTGCACTTTAAGCGCACAAACAAGTCCCTGTGATGGGTGCTCACGCCGGAGTCCTGATGCGGTTCGTCCTTGACCTTCGCGGCGATTTCGCGCTTCAGGCTGAGCGCCTCCTTGATCTCTGCGTGGTCGCACTGGTGCGAGTACTCCCAGATCTGCTGGCCCAGCGTGTCAATCTGTGGGAAATAAATAACCACAATTAAAACAAGTTATAAAAAACTCGTAGAGCTATTTACCTTGGTGATGCCCAGATGCTCGACCACGTTTTCGGATACATAGGTAATGTCGCCTTCGTGGGACAGGACGAGTAGGAACCCATCCATGGTCTGCTTTAAGAGCTCTCTGGCATCGGCTCCCTCGAGCCAGTCCTCGCTGCCCATCTCCAGCTTGGGCTTCATTTCCTGCTGATCGACCAACGCATCGATGTCCTTCTTAATGGCATCATTGCAGTCGCGCAAACTGGGAACTAAAATAAATCATTATTTAGAGCCTGCAAAGTAAACACCTCAATGAAGACTCACCGAACTGCAGCATCTCACGAATCTTGAGAAAGGCAATGGTGATTCTCATCACGGAGGCCTTGTCCAGTTGATTGACATCGTCGGTTTTTAGTGGCAAAGCCGACGAGAGCTCCATGAAAATCTCCGTCTCCTTGGAGCGACGACATCTTGCCGCATCGCGAGACTTCTCCTTGCGCTTTTCATTGTTCCTGGAACGATCGATGAAACGAAAAATTAGCATAAGCTCAAAACGATCACGTACGCCACTAAGCAAAGGCGAAAAAAGGGGCGTGGAGCGGGGGAAGCTGTCTGAAATATGCGTGCATTTCAATTGCTGCACTTTTATTCCCGTTTGATTGCCTGTGATTCAATTCACGCGGCCAGAGCTCGCAATCTTTCAATTAAGCAAAACGCTTGTAATTTTGCGCGTTTGTTGCCAGGCCGAGCGAAAAAGCGAAGGCGATCGACACGGCGCCAAAGTTCACGGCATCTATTTCAAATACCATTTCTTCATGGAAAGAAAATAAATAATCTAAAAGGGAACAAATTTGCTGCTGCTTAAAGAATTTCTGTATAGTTTCAGTGACTTCAAACTATTTGATTAGAAGCATTTCCCATTTATATTTTCCGAGGATCCTGACCTACAACAGCACCCTCTTGGGAGATTTTAACATTCCTGGCTGTCAAGAGAATCCCAGCGGCTTTAGATAGTGTATAATGGGCTCTGAAAACAGCGAGCAGTCACACGTTTACCTGATAAAGGCTGCCACGGCTGCCTTGGCACCAATTCCCCATGGTGTATTGGAAGCATTTTAGCTTTTCACCAAGAAATCGACGAAACATCCCACTTGCTTGATGAGTCGACAATTAGCGGTTTAGCGGAGTTGTCTTTCATCGAGTGAGTAAGCCCCATTCAAAGCCACGGCTTTTGGCTCCTCCACAATGGCGACAAGTTTTAATCGCAAAACAAGCAGGCAAATCATGCCGATACATTTATAAGGCAGAGCACTGACCTCTCACACATACGGCACTATCGAAACAACTATGTATATAAGTATTCTGGGCAAATTTAAAAAAATAAGAGATAGAAATCTCTCGGGAATGGTGGGAAAATAGAAAAGTTTGCCAAGATAATCTTGTGAGTGGCCGCATGCGAATAAGCTAATTCGGGAATTCATCCATGGCAATAACATAACATGCTCCTTGTTCAGAAAATTGTTTAATAATAAACTTGTATAATCAAAGGGAGACGGTGATTTTGGCACGTACATTAGTTTGGTTGGCCTTTGGCAGAAATCGCCAGCGCTGCTTTATTGCCTCTTTCGGAATGAAAAGAGCTGCCTACGTAAGGTCTTTCACTCGGAAAAATCCGCTTGGCAACATCGCGAAAATTCAAAACATTTCTGCTAACAAGTCTTAGGTGTCACCTGTCAAGGAAGGAGTCCCAGTGAACAAAGGCCCATCGTATCAGCCGCCAAAGGCAGCGGAATCTCCATTCCACAATGTGATGAGTGTGTCAGTCTGCGGGCTGTCTAATCAAAGCTTTTATACCTGAAGGAAGTATTTCCATTTACTTTCTCTATAAACAACGATAGCAATTAACACAACTACTTGAAATCAAAGTAACTATCCCACTGTTGAAAACTAGAACCCCTATAATGGGAATTCCACTAAAACAAAATGGATCGTCGAACTATAAGTAATCTCCTATTATGACATAAGTAAATATGAAAGAGGCGCCCCATAATCGATTAGTTGTAAACAAGGCAAATCCAAAAACAAACAAATAAAGGTATAAAAAAGCTTTATAATAAAAAGAGTATTCGATCTTCTAAGTTTAAATTCGTTAAACGAAACACAACAAAGTAGAGATAAGGGAGGTTTTCATTGTCAATCAGTCGGCTGATTGATAGAAACCAAGCAAAAGTTTAAAAGAGAACGAATGGCCGATGAGATAATTATTGTATATGTAGTATTATTTCACTCTCCATCACCATCTATCTGTTCACTATGCCCACTAACGCAAGCAGCAAGCAAATCTAATATATATGCGTAGACTCGCGGTGTTTATGTTTGTATTCGTATATAATGTATTAATTAATAGAAACCCATAGAAAGCGCATAGAGTGGCTTTGAATTGCATGCTAATGGCCTGCTTGAACTGAGTGATATTCGCGGGGTTTTCGCGGAGGAGGTATTTTCGATCGGGCCATTGTCTGTTTATTAGAACAGAAGCAAGTTCAGGCTTTTAAATATTCTAGCTGTGCCAGCAGAATTGCCTTGTTATTGCTGCTGTTGCGACTGTTGTTGTTGCTAAGTATTTCCGCTCCAAAGCGCAGCTCAAACACTGACAAAAATCATAAGAGATTAACTGAAATAATAATAAGTTAATTTGAGATCAAGAATTTAATTTCATGATGAAACCAAATTAAAAACCATGATTAAACCACGTGGACAACCAAGTCTTTGCTTACCCCACAACACCTTAGGATACTGACCCATTACTGTTTGAGTTGGAATTGCGAGCATTGCGAAATGCCTCTCCAAATGCGCCGTATCTCGTGGCGAGATATCAGCGAAAACACATAAAATACAGCTCAAGGTGTTAATGCCAAGTTCATGGAGCAGTAAATCGAGCCAACATCGGGTCAGGGATGTTTGGCTGGGCACAGCATGAACATGGAGAGAGTTTCGAGTAGCGTGTGCCCTCTGCAAGTGCGTCAGTTTGGCTTTGGCTCATTAGCATGGAGACGGGCAAGCGCAAATTTGGCTTAAACGTGTGCAAAACGTAAATAAACGACTAAACTGGCGACCATTCCGAACCCATTTGGTTTCCGCGCACGTTGAGTGCCAAGTTTTTGAGAGGAATCCAGGGATAAAGGGGCTGTAATCTGCGTCAATCGCTGGGGAATCGTTGATCATCAAATTTAGGAGTAGGAACCCCCTGCCAAGTGACCTTCGGGCGCCACGTGACGATAAATCTTTGGGAAATACCCAGCATAAAGTCATCGGTGAGATAACAACTACGCAATCAATCGACAGCCAAACAATACTTCATGATTATAACTGAATTGTGGCCATTGAAGAATTCTGCTGAATAATGAAAAAGAGGAAAGGCTTTCTCAGAGCAGTTAGCAATTAGAAAATGATAATTGGCAAAGCAAATTTCTTTTGGGAGAAACCCACTGAACCTTGACTCATTCAGTGCCTCTCTCTCGCCATATTTCCGTCCCCCTCTCGCTATCTTTTGCTGCGTATCTAAATATTATTATTAAAGAGATCCACAAATAAGCATAGATAAGGGCCGCACCGTTTGCTTTTGGCTCCGGGTTTTACAATAGGACACAACCAATTTCAAAAAAAAAAGTTTGCAGTATTTAGAAAAGAAGTTAGTTCTATAATGGCATTCTCCAAACCGACTATAACTGGTTAACTTTTTTAAAGAAAATGAGCTGTTGGCAGTTGCGTAATAAAGACCTAGGACAAATTAAAAAAAAAAAATTATACAAAAATATTGGTAATTTACTTAAATGAGTTATGTGTTAAAACATTCTTTTTTAATCAGTACATTGATAACTGAAAATCGAAAAGTTGTTTTACACCAACAAATTTCTTATCAAACACGAAGAGTATAAACAAGCTTTTTTCAGAACTTCTTGAAAATACGCTATCACTGAGTCCACTCACATAAAGTCCTCGATGTCCACAAACTGGGAGAACTGACAGGGTTGGGTGTTGGTGGGCGCATAACCGTAGCAGTAGGCGTAATTCCAAGGGCGGCTTTCGCGACAGGGCGTGGCCACGTTCAGGAGACCGCCCCTCTGGTGGTAGAAGGCATCCTGCTGCGGTTGCTGCTGATACGGATGGTATCTCTGCACTCCGGAGGAGGCTATGCTCGATCCCAGAACGGCGCCCACAAAGGGTTGCGATCTCGGCACTGGGGCATTGTAAAATGACCCATTGTTGAAGTTCACGGCGGGTTCGTTAATGGGTGTACGTCCGAAAACAGAGCCATTGTTCAGTTGCTGGTGCTGCTGCCGTTGCTGCTGCTGCTGCTGCTGATGTTGCAGTTGCGGCTTCAGATCGCACTCATAAAAACTAGAGGTCACATCCTCGCCGTAGAAGGAACTGTCGCCGGGACAGGAGAAATCGCAGCTCCCAAAGGAGTTGAACATTGATTGCGTCGTTTTTTCGCTGGAATCCGGCTAAGCCCATCGATGATGAACACACACACGCGCCCGATAACAGCTGATAGTGGCGAGGTGGTTTAGGACTATTTTGATTTGGCTATAACTCTGCTGCTATTTTCAGAACACGACGTACGGGAGTTCGAGCCGTAAATGAGCGAAAGGTTCCAAACCCTCGAAGCCATCATATTTATACCCGAGTTACCAAAAACAACAACAACAACAACAACAACAAAATAGGAAAAGAGCGCGGGCGAGAGAGCAGCAGACATTAACGTCAGATTCAGGTGCTATCAGACAAGTTTGCCTATCCGGACAAGTGCGCTCCGGCCGGAGTGATAAGATAAAGGCCGCCTGCCTCGAAAACATTCAGTTGGCAGGGAGCTTCGGCTCGGTACTCCCAATCGGAGCGATAACGTTGGACCCGAGTGAGTGGCACATTCAAATTAGAGGCATATAAATTATGCCCTGCGCTCCACTCGAGCCGATAATTGCGACGGTTAATATAGCATACTTTGCAACGCCCCCGCATAATACTGCACGTCCAGGATTTAATTTTCCGCCAATTTTCCTGACACACTGCAGTGCTTTATGATGACATTTAATATTAAATAAACCTACACGTAAACAAATTAAGCAAAATTCAATAAAATACAAATTCTATATAAGCTTTGCTATTATAGTTTTGCATAGTGGCTTTTGCCAGGAAAGCAGATTCAGATGAAAAAACATTTTGTCACTGATCTCAAACTTCTCGGCGAGCAAGCGCCCCGATAAGAACTATAGCATAGCAGATAAATATTTAGTTAAGTTTGGCAAACAGGCACCGAAAGTGAATCGAGATAAGGGAAGCACGCTAACTACTGAGTGTGATCAAATCGCAATGTAATCAACTCTAAAAGACAAAGAAGAAATAATGGGCAGATGGGGTCAAATTAGATAACCTCTTTGCTAACCGCATCTGGCATAATTGTTTGAAACAAAGTGTCCAGGGAATATTTTAAGTGATTCACATATTTTAACATTAAATCATTTATGTCAATTCCTATTTAAGTCGTTTAAATGAGCTCATCACCAAAAAACTAGAGAAAGAGCCCTTATCAACAATCGGTCTTCGGTTGGGCTTTGCCTATATAAAGAGCAGCAGCTTGTGTTCAATTCAATTTAGTGCAAAATATTCAACTTTATTTAAAAACTGTGCTCGATTTGATCGGTCGCGAATTTCGCTCGTGATTTTCCTATTAAAAGACTTAGACGATTTATAATCGAATGGGGCGCGGAACAGCTCTGGCCAGAAGCATTCTGTGCCTACTAAATTTTGTTGTGATCATCCTTTTAGTCTTAGGGATGCTGGTATCCTTCAAGCAACTTTACGGTGTCGTTATTCCGTTGGCTGTCATCGCCCTGGGATCGATTGCGGTCTTGATATCATTTCTGGGATGCTGCGGTGCCCTCTTCAAGGGCATTGTCTTGATCAAAAGCTATGCTGTCATCTTGCTGAACCTGATGATCCTAAAGTTGATACTGCTAGTGATTCTTTTCTACAATGAGGAGCAGTTCAAGAAGGTCTTTGGCAACATTTTCGATACCGCTTGGAGACGGATTCAGGCAGAGGAAGGAACTTTGGAAGCCCTAATTGCATCATGGTTCAGCTGCTGCGAACGTGGTTTTTCCAAGGACTTCAACGAAGAAGGAGGATGCCGAGACCAAGTTGTCGACTTTGTGACTGATAAGGGCAAGTTTGCCGTTATCGGTCTAATTGTTGCTGAACTGATCCTGATCATATTTTCCTGTTGCTTGGTTAACAAACTAAGGAACTACAAAAGAAAGCAGGAACTCATGGCCTTTAGTTATGAAATGAGCTTAAGGCGAAACTTAGCGGAAGTCAAAAAAGAGCAAAATGTAAAGAACTCTACCAAAAGTTGTTCAAAGAAATCGCCTAAAATAATTTCCAAAAAAAATCACGAAGACCTATCTGCCGAAAGCCGTTCCAACATTTATTTTTGAAATATAAATATATAATTAACAGATAACAAACTTGAAGAGTAGTTGTTCATTTCTCATATGCCTTCACTATTAATTAAATAAAGAGCTGTTGACTTGTTCATATGCATAATTCAAATAAACAACGATCAAGAACGAATTTTTTTTGTTTTCGGCAAGTAATATGTATACTAAAGGAGGGGCTTTAGTAGCCTTTAAAAATAAATTACAACTTTCCCTGCCACCAAATATTTCAGCAGAATCATCCTTTATACCGATCACCACGCATATAGAGTCCAATACACACACGAACGACAGAAAGTTTCGGAAGCTGCGTTACCTTCACTCTGTCCCGCTCACTTTTGTTTATATCTGTTTCTGTCGCTGCACCAAGTTCAATTTTATACACACAGAAAAATATATGTAAAATCGGACACTTAATTTTTGGATTTATGAATTTAAAAAGCATTCGGTGGATAGCAAAGAGAAACAACGCCTCAAAAACTACTTTTATATTTCAAAAAAACAATTCATGGAAAAAAAAAAAAACATTTTATTTATTAACACCTTTCTTTTAAGTGAAGAGTATATTTAAATAAAGATGAATCAAAGAAGAAACCCAACAACTTCACACATCCAATACTTAAATACAATACCAATCTCTTTCTCTCTCTTTCTTTCTTTATAAATCCCTCCCCTCGTGCGTTTCCATCCTCCCTGTGTCGTCACAATTTTAGTTCGATTGCGCAAAAAGTAGGTCGTTGTGGCCAGACGAAAAACAACAACAATAAAACAACAACAGGGCATATCATTTAAATATTTTACAATACACACATGAGGGAATGTGTGTAAGCGTGTTTTACTTTTGTGCGTTTGTTTTCGTTGGTATTGAAATTTATTTATTATTGAGTTTTATTGTTTTTTTAAGGTTTAAGCATCGGCTTCTGCGAATTTTTTGTTCCGCAAGGGTTTGTTAAAAAACAAACAGTAGTTTCAATTCTTGTTTTCCCCAATACCTATACATCCACATACCTCCAATTGAGGTCACACCGATCATACAAATCCAAAAGTGTTCGTATTATGAATTTAAATTCGTTTTAAGTCAGATTCTAATTGCAATTTGATGGTTGTGGAAATTTCCCTATTGATAAATCATTTCTTATTCAAGCCAACCTAATCGATTATGCTTAAAATGCTCTTACCAAAATAAAACGAAACCAGTTCAAAGCAACTGGAAATTAGCGCCAATCTTAAGTTAGTGGGTCTCTAGAAGCTAGAACACAATTTGAAAATGGTTATAGAACCGCTTTTCAGCTTTTACACATTTGTTTTTAACTTTAGTTTTATGGCTGTCACGTAGGCCAAAGCGTTTGTTTTAATTTAATGTAAATGTCTTAATGTCTTGGCAGTTATATGGCTTATAAGCCCAAAAAATTTAAGTTTTCAAAGGGGCGTGGGCCAAAAAAAATCTGAATCAAAAACAAAACAAAGCTGATAAACGAAGCACGAGGAGAAAACAGGTTGCTTTTTGGAGCGGTGGGGCAAAGATACTCGAGCATAACAGGTTTTCTCATTGTTTTTTATTTTTCCCCTCTTAAAAAGTGTCGGTGTAAAGTAAAATAAATGCACGTGCCTAAAAATAAATACCAACCACTGGGGGCTTGGCCTTAAAAAGGCGGTTAAAAACCATTGAAGGATACATCTTCGGAAGCAACAAGTGTTTTGAAGCCTCTAAACCCTGCAAAGTGCACTTATTTGTGTACATTGGCCTACTATATCTCCTTAGGTATCATATTCCACTGCGGAAACCAAGCGCTCATATGCAAACTGAACGATTTCGTTTCGTCTCGACTTCTGTCTTTGAATGTCTGAAGGTCGTGGTTCTCGGTCATTTGGTTGTCCTTCTCTTTCGCTCTGCCTTCGTCACTGGCTTGTATAATAATTACCGCGAATGCAAAAATTAGTTGGACGCGTGATTAATGATTGACTTTCCACTATTTTCTTGTCCCCCGGCAGCCCTCTGTCGTTTGTTTCGTCAACCATTGACGCCCAATAAGGGGAGCTAATGAAATCGAGTGCCAAATGAATTTAAATTCACATGAAGGAACCAAGTTTCCTCCCGGAAAGGCTTTAATGCACTCTTGTGATAATTTTGTAAAAATTTGTTAACAATTTTATACATGCAAAAGAAAAAGATCGCTGAACTTATCTTGGCAACAAGGATGGATAACAGTTTGATACCAAGATAGGGATAGTACGTAGGCAAACTTGCTAAATACATCTCAGTTTCAGAATAGTCTGCGGTTCAAGGTTTTTCCAAACTCTATGTATGTGAATGAAGTTTCCTCGGTCAGAACTTCAAAAGAAAATAACAAAAACTATAGTCCGATATACACTATATACCCAGACAATAAGGTATCCAGGACCGGGGATAAATAAATAAATGATTTCACATCGTCAAAAAATATGAAATATCGCCTAGAAAACTGAGATGGAACGCTGAAAGCTACGGATAGCAACAAAAGCCGCAACGATCGCCGTGAAGCGAAAGAGGGCGAAAAAGAAAGCAAACGCTTATGCAATGGGCAAACAACTGATCTAAGCAGGCCCATTGGATCCATTTGAGCGCTTCAGATGGTATTATTGGATTAGGTTATCGTTTAAGGGATCGGATTATTGGTAGTGTGACTCACCTTCGCTTCTCCTTTGGTTTTCCGCTGGCCGTGAGATTGGATTTGGGGGCGGCAGAAGATGGGGAGCCAGAGGACGAAGACGGTGGGGAGGAGGAAATCGAAGAGGAGGAGTTAGAAGCCACGGACTCGGTTTGCTTCTGTTTTTCGGCTGCTGCTTTGATTGTATCAATTAACGAAACCATTTTGTGTATGGATTTCAAAACGCAACAGCATTCAAAATTTCTGTCGATGTGGAGGATTCTATTTAATTTCCTCTATTATGTTGTTTTTCACTAGCGTTTTTCTTATCGCGAGTTTTTCCAGCACTTTTTGAGACTCTTCGTTGTTGTTGTTTTGTTATATTTATCGCTGCTACTTTCGTTGTTTCGACAAAAACTAGCTGTGTGCGCTTGTATTGGTTGTTGCGTTTGTATTGTTGGCACTACGCACACACACACACCCACACTCGAGCACTGTGTTTTCCAAATAAACTGCTATTATTTAACAACTTTTACTCCTTTTACCTTGATTGCTTTTCTATATTTTTGATTTATTATCAAAAAAAACAACTGCCACAAGGTTATATTATTATTTCACTGTTGTTGTTATTGTGGTTGTAGTCTCAACTGGCCAATTGCACTTTGGTATATTCGATAATTGGAGAATATGCTTATTGCACTTTGAAGTTTTGCACCGATTTGATATTGAACTCGCGTTGTAGCATCTCACAAACGCGATTTATCTGCAGTATATGCATTTTACACTGCGCCTACAGCATTTTTCGACACGAAATCTTAATACGCTTTTATTTTTTGTTTTCTTTGCTCGCTTTTTCGTAAACAGTGTGGCAGCAGGCTGGCGAAAATACCGTGGGTACACGCTAACGCTGTTGGAATATACCTTAAATATACCACAATATTACAAAACCAAACCAGTAACAGTAAATATCAATCAAAATATTACCCCTTGGGTAATTTGAAAATCCCATTTAATATTTGTTAATAAGTTTAATTTATTTTATTGGTGTTTAAATTTTCTGATGTGAATTTCAACCAGCTAAATTTTTCGAATTAAGCAAAATGTAGCAACTGTAATTTAAAAGTAATCGCCAACCAAAGCTGTTGTAAAATTACTTTAAATTAAATGTTTCCCAAATGCATTTTTTAGAATCTAAATATACGTACTGTTTTAATCGCTAAGGATGATTTATTTTCAACAACTACTACGTATCATTAATTTAACTCGTATCCAAAATATAAATTTTTCGAACGGTCACGACAGATGGTGTATATGATTGGAGCCCGAGTGCCCCCAACTATGACAAGCTTTATTTATTTTGTACCAAGTCATACCTATTTAGCTCTTATCTTTCAAGCATGATGAATACGACATGATCCCATCTAGGCCTTAGGCACCACAGAGTTGCCCTTGGGGGCCGCCATCTCGTCGCCACCTCCAGTCCCCCCACATCCGCCAACGGATCTGCATTCTGACCTCCAATGGAGCCCCCTTCCGTGTCTAAGGCTTCGCCTAATCCATCGTCGTCGTCGTCGTCTCCACCGGACTTGTTGTACACGGTGGGATATTTCTGGAAGCAGTCGCGCATCTTGGTGAAGGCGTCGTAGCAATCGGAACCCTTGGGATCGGCGGTGCTGTTTTGGAAGCAGGAGAAAGCCTCGCGGAAGTCGACGCCACAGGGCCCGGTGGCCATTCCACCCAGACAGGGACAACTCCAGTTGATCTTTCCATCCTTCGTGATCACACCCTCCGGCTGTTCCGGTGGCGGCAACTCAATGGTGCTGGGCGTGGCATGGTCCTCTTTGGTTACAAAGATTACCTTGTCCTTCCCGTACTCCTTGCAGAAAGAGAATGACATGATGCCTGCGTTTTTCTAGTTAAATGCTATGAATTCCTCTTCAGAGTCCTCAAAATCTAAAGCCTTCCGGGATGTGTTGAGCACCTGGAAGTGGCAGGGCACCTCCTGGTAGTAACCTATTAGGGATATAGCTATCCGGACACGTTCCAGAAAGTCCTCGGTTACACGGAAAATATATCGTTTTTGACCGGAACTGAATTTCACAATTTCCAGCGGAGTTTGACCACCGATTTCGCCAAAAATGCTCGTTAAGGAGTTGCAGACGCAGCCCAACAAGAAAACAGGTGTTAATGTCACAGAATCTGGATCACGGAGTTTCCTAAGAGATCAAAACATGCATTAGTTGTACTCTCATTCCGATGCACGTGGGGAATTAAAATATGTGTCGGATTGATTTCCGGATCTCACAGCTTCACATCCAGATATTGGTAACCACTCATGCTTTGGTTACGGCAATTCCGAGCCCCAGTTATTATCCAAGGGATCTATTTGCGGCCGAAAATGTAGAAAATCGTCCTAGAAATGCCGGTCAGTGTGTTTTTTTTTATGTAATTATTCCCTTTTCACTATTTCTTTCTGGTTTTAAAACAGCTGTGCGGTGGCAGAAATGGCCATACGGCCTTTAATACAAAAAATAGCCAAAGCAGAGCTAGCTTGAAATCTAAAATACATACCGAATTTCGTAGTGAATGGCAAACAATAAAAACCGTTAAAAATAGAATATTCAAATATCAACAACGATTTTCAATTATTTTTCTTAATTTTTTGTTCCAAAGTAAATTTGTAAATTTAAACAGATAAAATTATTGTAGATCTCCGAGTTTATTAGGCATTCGAGAACTATTCTTCATTATTTTTTGGGCCTACAAAATTCTTCTCGATGTCTTTTTCAAAATCTAAAATTGATTTGGAGGTATGCAGGACCTGGAAATGGCAAGGTGTTTGTTGATAATGACCTATTAGTTCGAGGGAATTACGAGTCATATTGAACAGCTCTTCAGGAACTCGAAAAACAACTCGTTGCTGCAGAGCACAGAACTTAACAATCTCCAAAGTGGGCTTTTCTTCACAGAAAAAACTATCCAATGCTTCTAAAACACAGCCTCGGAATAAAGCTGGGGTTAAAACAACGGCATCTGGGTCGCGGAGTTTCCTGTGAAAGAAATTTAAATAATAAAGTCTGATATGAGAACATGTTTTTCTCTTCAGAGCTAAGTAAAATTCTCGACTTACAGTTTAATGTCGAAATAATAATATTCGGCCATGATGATCGTTGGCTGTCCTTTTTATGGGGTGACCGCTGTAGAGATCTGCGTTCGGGGCGAATGGCAACTGGTTATTGCTTGGCGAATTGCGCGGCGCCAATCTTTTGACGAAATTCTCCCAATGAAAACGTAAAATTTAAAAGAAAAATTCAAACAAAACAAATATTCAATTTCCAGTTTGGAACTGTCAAATGGATAAAGTAGCAAATGTCCAAGAGGAGGATGAAGAGGGTCCCCTGAGCGTTGCCAAACTAATGGTGAGTGTCCACCGATCTTGGCCAGAGTTCATCTTAATTCCTTGAGACGAACGCTCTAGGGCGGCAGCATCACGGCCAAGGACATCAAGCTCCTACAGCAAGCCAGCCTGCACACCGTGGAAGCCGTAGCCAATGCCACCAAGAAGCAACTGATGGCCATACCGGGCTTGGGCGGCAATAAGGTGGAGCAGATCATCACGGAGGCCAACAAACTAGTGCCTCTGGGCTTCCTTAGCGCCAGGACCTTCCACCAAATGCGGGCGGATGTGGTGCAACTGAGCACGGGCTCCAAGGAGCTAGACAAACTCCTAGGTGGCGGAATCGAAACCGGATCCATCACGGAGATCTTTGGGGAGTTCCGCTGCGGCAAGACCCAATTATGTCACACGCTGGCGGTCACCTGCCAGCTGCCCATCAGCCAGAAGGGCGGCGAGGGCAAGTGTCTGTACATCGACACGGAAAACACGTTCCGCCCGGAGCGACTGTCCGCCATTGCGCAGAGATTCAAGCTAAACGAGGCCGAGGTGCTGGACAATGTGGCCTGCTCGCGGGCCTACAACTCCGATCAGCAGACCAGGCTAATCCAAATGGCAGCGGGAATGCTCTTCGAGTCCAGGTAGGCTCACTGAACCCGTGATTAGCCTCCTCTACTGACGCCTGATCTTGCAGATACGCAGTGGTGATTGTGGACAGTGCAATGGCGCTCTACCGATCCGACTACATAGGACGCGGTGAGCTGGCCGCCAGGCAAAACCATCTGGGCTTGTTCCTGCGCATGCTGCAACGCCTGGCAGACGAGTTCGGTGTGGCAGTGGTCATTACCAACCAGGTGACTGCCTCGCTGGACGGCGGACCGGGCATGTTTGCCGGCGACGCCAAGAAACCGATTGGAGGCCACATAATGGCACACTCCTCCACCACGCGGCTGTATCTGCGCAAAGGCAAGGGCGAGAACCGCATCTGCAAGATCTACGACTCTCCCTGCCTGCCGGAGTCCGAGGCCATGTTTGCCATCCTGCCGGACGGAATTGGAGACGTGAAGGAAGGCAACTGATCCCTAGGTTAAGGCAACAATGAATGCTTCATTAAGAATTTTACTATTTTGATACTACGCCTTTTTTTTAGGTTTCGTTACTAATATTTTACCGAATATAAGAAACCATCTATGATCACGAAAATCCCGCGAAAAATTTACATCCAAAAACAGAGTGGGATAATGTACCTTCTATATTTAATTCAATAATAGTCAAAACATCTACACACTTAGTAATTATGTACGGGTCTGAAAAATTGTATATCTGGGAATAATATTAATATTAAGCGGGTGCGCAGGAGGCTGATCACCAACTGGTAAGCTGCACGGATATGCACCTAGTATGCACACGGGATGTGGGGTTTAAGGTTTCATGGGGAGATAAATGAACTTTAGTCTTAAAAAATAAGCAATAGCACTCGGCTTTACGAAACTTTGTCATCCAGAGCGGGGTCTTCACATTCGTCCGGTTCTCAACGCTTAGTAGTAACTGGAAAGAAAGCGGTGAGTTTGCGAGCCGGGGACACGTGCTTTTTGAGCCTACCTTATGGTACAATCAAGCCAGCGGAGCTGGTTATTAAACACTGATCATCTATTGCGGAACGGCGGTGGCGGCGCTCTCTTTGGCCATTACCAAATTGTTGTAGCTACGCTCGTTCAATCCGACGCGAAGGTTCTCGTTCATGTTTTTCGTGTAGGTCTTGTAGATCTTGACCTTTTCACAGAAGTCAATCCAAAAGTTGTCCTCGATCTCGGGCTCCGTGTTGAAGAGCTTCTTGAAGCCGTCGAAAATTGTAGAGGACACCTGGCGGATGGTCAGCGCCTTCTCCTTAAAATCCGCCTCGTCGGAAAGCTCCATCTTCCAGAGCTCCAGGTTGCCCACGTACCGACGAAGTCTTCGCATGATGTCCACGCACTCCGGGTTGCGCAGCAGCATAAGCTTGGTGAGCTCCACCTCCTTGAACTGCTCAAGGATCTCAATACACTTGCCCACATTAGCCCGCCGCAGTCCCAAGCACTCGCGCAGCTGCTGGGAGAGCTGGATGAAGTCGCGCTCCATGAACAGAGCGTCCTCGTGCTCGATCAGCTCCTCGATGAACCGCAACGCCTCCTGCTTGGGGATCTCAGTGCGCGATGGTTCCACCACTATCCTCTCGGGCATGGCCTCTGGCTCCATTTGCCCGCTCTCCAGCTTTAACTTTATTTCCATTGCCTCCTTCCGAGCCTTTTCCACCCACGCCGCCTCGGCAGCAGGGCTCTCAAAGACTTCCGGCTTGTTGTAGTTGATGTCGATGCCCACACATTTGGCAGTGGGCATGTACACCATGAGCAGATCGTTCCGAATGTTCTGCGGGGACAAAAGTTGGGTTAGAGGTCTTCGGCAATTTAACAGCATGAACTGATGGAACAACTTTCAAGTGAATTGTGCATTAAAGGTTAAAAGGTATATAGAATTTAAAGATATTAAAAAATTAGTTATTGCTACGTAGATAAAAAATAATACCGATATGTTTTATATTAGGTTAGGTCGGTAATTGGCAATGCCTCAAAAAATAAATTTCTGTAACCTTTCAGGAAAGCTCTTACTTACATAGATAGGCCTTGACCGCTTCTGGATAGGAGTAACTGCAGCCGTAGGCTTTGATTTCTTTACAGATTTCTTGCCGGACGTAGTGGCCGTTGTAGCGGGAGCAGCATTGGCTGGAGCGGCACTCAAACCCTCGGCAGGGACACGTCGCTTGGCGGGAGGGGCCAAATCCGCGGAGGAAGATGTGCCGCCGCTGGCCTCAGCTCCCTCTTCGCTGTCGCCGTCCACATGGCGCGGTGGTGCCTTCGGCTTCCGGTTAACGCTCTTTTTGGGTTTCTCTACGGCAGCTTCCACAGTTTGCTCCTTTGCAGCGGCGGGGTCCTCCTGCTTAGACTCCGCTTTCCCGACGGAGTCTGCGGCTGTCGGAGGAACTGTCACCTCGGCGCCGGGCAAATCGATGGGCGCTGAGTCCTCACCGCGCAGGGCGCTTTCAATCTGCTCAATGGCCTCGATGAACTTGGCCCGCTTCATGATCTTCTCGGTGGCGAACCGCTCCTTGTTTTCCGCGTACCGGAACAGATCCTCCACCTTGATATTGGCCGTCTCCCCAGTTCCGTAAAAGTAAACATTGTACTTCTTATTGTTGTTGCTCTTGGTGATCTTCGCCGGCCACGGCGGGTATCCCTTTACCTTGGCGAACACCAGGTCGCCAATGTTGTACGATTTGGCAGCCTTTTCCTTGCCCATTTCAGTGGTTCTGCTTTAGTTAGTTTCGGCGGCGTGTAAATCCAATTTGTTTTCGGCGATTCTATGGCGTCTGCTTCGCACTCTGGGTTGCCAGATGGTTTTTGCCCGGGAGGGCTGCCAGACGACAGGCGCAACCATTCAACAGAAACCGCCAGACTAGCCACATTTTCGTCCACCCACAAGTGGTTGAAAACTCGGGTAAACGCGCTCAAGTCATGTTTAAATTTTTGCTAAAAAAAATTACAAAAACCATCCCAATTTGTTTCGATTTCAAAGTGGCATACTTCTAAGCGGTGTACTAGAGTTCTTCAAAAAAGAAGATACTTTGCGAACGGCACACCTATGTACAATTTTAGTAATATCCAGTCAATCTGATATGTCCCATTTTTATGTGGAATATTAGCAAACAAGAAAAGAAGCTAGCTATATACCCTTGCAGTCATCAGTTGATCCAAATGCATAAAGGCTAAAAAACATCAAAGCTATTATTATTATGTAAAAGGTTATAATTTTATTTCCGTTATTTCTATATATGTAGATTTTTCTATCTTTCCTATGGCAGCCATATGATATCGTTGTCGGATTTTAATGAGATTTTTTTATCGATTCAACGGTTATTAAAAAGTTCCATATTTTGAAATTCATGCCCTTTTTGCTCTGCAAGGGTATAAAAAAAACTAAACATTCCTTGCCATTACACCCCTTTTTCAGCCGATCAAAATTCGAATGCCCTCAGTCAGGGTATTCAATCGGAGTACGTTAAGTATACGCAGTGTGTACAAATTGCCCACATAATTACAGCGGCAAATCATTGGCACAGCTCCCACAGGTGGAAGTTCGTTGGCAGGCGGTTCCCACCTCGTTGCACCCACACAAAACACCTTTACGCACCTCGGCACGAACTCACCACATCAACTGAAAACATTTTCGAAAGCATTTCTGTTCGCCGTAGCTCAGTCGTCGTTGGCTTGCCAGAAAGAATTGTATCGTTCTCCTCCGAATTCCCGAAGAACTTCAGTGTTTTTTTACCGAACCGCCGGAGAGACCGAGGCGGAAAATAGTTTTCATTTGTGGCCTGGAATCCGAGGAATTTGTTTATTGCGGAGCGTAAATTCTTGATTAAGTGGCGCGAACTTTTGAGATCACCAGCATGCAGGAGTTAATAGTGGGAGGCATCGGCGAGGTGCTGCAGAAGGTACCATTTGATAATGAGAACGAGAAGGAAAATCGCCAAAAGTGAGTCATTTGCACGCATATAAACGCAGGTTCTCGGCTAATGTGCTTGCGGCTGCCATTTGAGCCAGTTTTTGTTAATGGCAAACATTAAAGGGGCGCCGTACAAACATACACATATAGTCAAGGTCGCGCTGATGTCACCTGAAGCGGACCTTTGTTGTTTCCAGTTAATTAACGTAATTACTGCATCTAAACCGAAATGATACACTCAATAAGTGATTACTTTGGGCTATTGTGAGTTTTACAAGTGAGCAGGGCCTGCTTTTGGGTTTTATTGCGGAACTCTTTTCGGATCGGAATTGCAAGATATATTCAAATTATTCTTGAGTTTTTCGTCGCATTCTTGGCATTCCTTATCGGGGACCCTGACTCTGACAATTGAATTCAAGGACAGCGTAATTGCTAAAACGAAATTAGTCATTTTTCATGGGGCAGACGGAGGTCTGTCTGCAGGTCTGTCAAAATTTTTGGCAGTCAAAAATAAGCATTTGTGTGGACCCGAGGTAAAATTTAATATCTTGACTCTGATGAGTCTCTGGCAGATTTAAATTTTTTGCAACTTACAAGATGAACAGAATCGCGAATTCCTCAAGAGTATGCGATCCCAATATTCTGCCCAGCCCATTAACCTAGTTCCCCCAAAAACAATCATGTGATGGACAATGGAAAGAAAACAAGCCCAGCGACAAGGATTTCAGATTCTTTCGCTATTTAGCAAATACATAAATAATGGAGATGGAATTCGAAAACATCTCAATTTGTTCTTGCTTTTTATTTTTGCATTCGGTGATAAAAAACAAAATCACTGTGTCGTCCATAAAGGCGGGCGGTGTGAAATATTTTAATTTCACTTATTTTCAAATCACAGAATTTCTGCCGATGCCACTGACTTGGTCTAGCGAAAGTGACCGATGATTAATTTTGGCGCCGTGCCAGCGGAATTCGTGATTATTATTTAATGACGACGCGAAGTCGCCGTAAACATGTAATAAAACCAAAAAGAAAGTGTTTTTTTGACACATAGAAAATGAAAATGCACCTGAGTTGGCTTGGAAAACGAACGAAAGAATTTACATAAATTAGTTGTTATTATAAATATTATCCTGCTTTAAGTCTTAATTGAAGTCATTGACCGAAACATTCTATGAACATGAAAATAACCGAATTTAAAGTATGGTTTCCTTAAGGAAATATATTTGTATTTTGAAAGGGTGTATATTGTTCACCCTCAAAATAAGCCAAGTGTTTAATTTTACATTTACATTCCTCAGTGGCAGGCGCTTTTGGAGGGTGATGACAGGAACAGGGAAGGTGGCCCAAGGGGGTTTGGACACCTTCCATTTGATCTCTGATGAGGAGAGGGGATTTCAGGGGGCTGGGATGATGAATAGGGCGCAAATAACCAGATGGCGGGCCTCTATTTTAATTATGAAGATGCTACCATATAGAAGCATAAGGAATGTTTCTGCCTAAAAATAAAGTTCATGTTATTTTGACAGTTCTATTTTGCGATCAAAACAAGAGTGTTCTCTTTGTTTACCTTCTTGATCAACCAAAATTGTTGATATCAAACAATATATCACAATGTTGTTTGTATCTTTGTAGAAGAGAGATCTTATTTACTATTAGTTATTATATTGTTGTTAAGCAAAAAATCGAATACGTAGTAGATTATGTTCCATTATGCGATGACTGATCTGTTTGTTTACGCATTCGCCAAATACCATTTTAGATCCATTCTATTTTCATTTAGCGTCCATTTATTATACACTTCGCGAAACTAATTATAAACAGACATTTTTGAGGTGTACAATACAAATTTGCGTATTTATGTACGTATCTCTGCAATATGTTTATTGTTTGTGCCTACGCAGCGAAAAAAACCATGACGTCTTCTGATGAACACGTAGGTGCTGGGACGGGATCTGTTGGAACGGGATGGGGTCTTTGGGGATGGGGATGGGAATGGAATCTGGGCGATGTGTTGTTTAAGTTTCCATTCACAAAATTACTTTGGCTGGGCTGTTTCATGTTGAGAGCTTTGGCAGTACTATGCAAAAAATACACGAATACCTGCCATTTGTTTATGGGCTATTTGTGTTTGGCTTAACACCAAATGTTCTCCTTTGTTCATGAGAAATGTTCCTATTTTATCGGTTCTTTCACCCACCAATAATATATATTGAATGCATCAGGTTTTCCAGCCAAAAATTTTACGCAGTAGTATTAGACAATACATTCTATAATGTATGATCAACAAAAATTGCATAATCATTTTATAGGCATTCCTTTTTAGAAAGTGTAACTATGATGCGCCTTTAAATTGTTAAAGAATTAGCCTCGTTAATTATATTTTTTGTATATATTTAGTGTTCTTCAACCAACTATAAACTTATAAAAATTTTCTCCGACTACTTTCAGCAAGTTAAATGACGCCGATCCAGAGGAGCACACACCGTTTCCTGGCATGTCTCGCCTGACTCCCTCCCTGATCCTTTGTGGAGCGGCGGCGGTGGTGCCCGCGTACATGGACAAGCTGGGCGTCAGTTGCGTCATCAACGTGGCGCCGGAGCTGCCGGACACACCGCTGCCCAGCCAGAAGAACCCGCTGTACCTGCGCATCGACGCCCAGGACCGTTCCGAGGTGGACTTGTCCAAGCACTTCGACGAGGTGGCCGACCTGATCGAGGAGGTGCGCCGCTCCGGGGGCTGCTCCCTGATCCACTGCGTGGCCGGGGTCAGTCGGTCGGCCAGCTTGTGCCTGGCCTATCTGATGAAGCACGCGGGGATGAGTCTGCGCGAGGCGTACCAACACATCCAGTCCATCCGGCCACAGGTTCGGCCCAACTCCGGATTCTTCCAGCAGCTGAGACGCTACGAGCTGGAGCTGAAGGGCAGCTGCTCGGTGGCCATGGTGTACTTCGCCTCGCTGGACAAGGAGATCCCCGACCTGCTGGAACCCCAGTACAGGGCCATGGAGGACTTCTACCAGCGGTACCGCAGTTCCCTCAAGAAGCGATAGGTCGCCCACTCAGCACCACTTAATCTAACTTGTGATACTTGTACTACTAGACCCTACTACTAGATTAGATCTTAATATTCTATCTGCTCGTAGATAACCATGCTGAATCTTACATAAGTCCGCCGAGTCAATGATGTATGCTTAGAGCTCGTAATTACAAATACACTTTAATTTTCGTTTAAGAACATTGAATTTACAGCGTAAATTAATCAGTTTTAGTAACTTCAATGAATCACAAAGTCATCGGCGAACAAACAACACACTCGTATTATATCGTACATCATCTAGTATTATTTACACGTACTCGTATAGTAGCTAACTAAACCGTATCTCGTGGATTGGGTACCTTTAAATGCTCACGTTGTATTGTACTTGGCATCCGCGGGGCGAATTGAACTGAACTGATATACAGATATGAGGAGGAGGAGGAGTCTCCGCGAAGGATGTGTGTATGTACATTAACACCTATAATTCAGCATCTCAACACAGGCGACTTAAACGAGACTTAAACCGAATGAAGAATTGGCTAGCTAAGAGGCAGAAGTAACCGTTTGTGTACAATCAGCTGAGTTCTCAGTTCTCTAGTTTGGGCACCCGGGCCTACTGGTGCATCAGCTTCTTTAGGTTCTCGTAGGCCGTGTTCATGATGCCCCAGCTGATGAAGGAGCGGCCCGTGTTGAAGGCGCAGCCGCGGTAGAAATTCGCTAACCGGCAGTCGCGCTCTATGTAAATTCGCTTGCACGCCTGCCAGCTGCCCTCCGACTTGTGGCCCATGTCGCTCTGCAGCGACACCTTGATCACGTTGAGCGGATAGAAGATTGTGCTGATGCTCGCCCCGATCACGGCGCCTGCGAAGAACTCCTGGGCCGTCCGAGTGGACACGGATTTCTGTGGGTAAATCGGATTTCGTTAATGGATTATTGAGCGAACGAAGCCAGGAATTCTCACTCTCTTGGGCAGACTGTTGCTGGCCTCCTCGCGGAGCACAAAGAAGAGCGCGTTGGACAGGCCGTTGCGCCAAAATACTGGTTCAAGTCCCCTGTAGAGCTCCCGATAGCCGTGGTTGGCCACCACATACCTGGGGGACAAAATAGCAACGTTAAGAGTGTGTTGGGAATTTCGAGGGGGCGCCTCTTGAACCAAGCGATTATAATTTGCTTGGAAATTGGATGAATAAACATTTGCTTTAGCTAAGGTTGAGTGGTCTCACGGGATTCCATTTCCCCTGCTCACCTGAATGCGTTGGGTGTGTTGGTGAAGTGCTGGTGGAACTTGGAGTCGGCCAGCAGGGTTTGCACTCGTTCGAAGGGCAGGAGGATGGACTCGGCGCTGCCGGCGACCACCCCAGCGATCACCTTGGCCCCGTAGTCGTTCAGGCGGTAGTCCTCCACGAGGTATCTCCTAGTTCCATCGAACACCCCAAACATGATGGACAGCGAGATGGTCTTCTGTGCCAATGGCGGGAGCATTCCCCGGTAGAGGAAGCCCAGTCCCTCGTGGCGCAGCTGAGCAAAGGCCGAGGTTATGGGCACTCCGTGGAGCATCTGGCGGAAGATCATCTTGTAGATGGGATATGTGGCCGCGATGTTTACGAAGGCTGCTCCGCATCCGCATGCGAACTCCTCCCACTGAAAGGCCCCGAAGAACCGCTCCGAAAACACGCTGCCATTCCGCGGCTTTGCTGTTTGCGGGGTTAGCGAAAGCCCAGATGGAACCCTATTTGGGGGCGGAGGGTCGGTGGTTTTGGCGACAGTCGGCGCGCCATCATCCTTCATGGTGATATTATCCTAACTTTAACTCGGGTGTGTGGAGAAGTGCGCATTGGTTACCGCCGCGGTACCATTGTAACCACTCACACACTGGGTTTCTGGTTTGTTTTGATTCTCATCGGTTTAATTATATAATAATGAAGAAGAACCACGGTATGACGGGCTAGTGTGGCCGTAGCTGAGCCCCAATTGCCTACCAGTTGGTTAAACAACTCACTGTTATCCAATTCGCGAATCAGTAACCGTAAACATTTAACTATAGTTTATTACAAGTGTTAAAACTTAATAATAAAAAAAACAAAAATTGCAAATATAAATTGGATGTTTATGCATTTGCCATCTTGTCTTAACTATTTGAAAGTTTTTCCACAAGGACCTAAAAATGCTTTTTGAATTTCGTATTACAGCCTGGACTATTTGATAGACCAGCTTTATTCTTAAAGGGATTAAAAAACAACTTTAAACAACAGAAATAGCTAAATAAATAAATATGAAAGCAAAACAGAAATAAACTTTTTTTAATCCTCATATTATTAACATTCCCTTAACAGCACCCATAAAAGCGCGTTGGCAGTACCGAAATGCCTGATTTATCCCCTTTTGTGCGCGCGGTGCAGCCACACTTTCTTTTCGCTTCTGGTTTCCGGCAAGGTATGTACATGATTTTCGATGCACGTGTATTTTAACAAATTTTTAGCCATATTTCTAGATTTTAGCGGTGTTGAGTTCAACAGAGTTGGTCCGTGTGCTTTTTGCAATCTAGCGGTTCGTATTTTGCCCAAATCTGGACTATAGCCCCTAGATCGATGATGAACGGCTTCTGTTTGTGTTGGAAACCCATAAGGAAACAGACCGGAAACTGTCCTAATAAAGCGGGAAATAATTTAAAAAGCCACTCCAACTTTGTTGACACCCGCTTTTATTCAGAAAGTCCATCTACCATAACTCATGTAGCTATGAACCTATTTATAAGGACGTTCTAATTGGAGGCTAGTAAACTAAAAAGTGTTTTTGTTGTGCCATTTCAGCATCAAGATGACTATCCGCCCAGCGTACAGGCCCAAGATCGTGAAGAAGCGCACCAAGCACTTCATCCGTCACCAGTCGGATCGTTATGCTAAGCTGTCGGTAAGTCGAGTCAACGCGATATTCTCAAAAACTGATTACTAACAACTTTCCCCGTCACTTTGCAGCACAAATGGCGCAAGCCCAAGGGTATCGACAACAGAGTGCGTCGCCGCTTCAAGGGACAGTATCTGATGCCCAACATCGGTTACGGATCGAACAAGCTCACCCGCCACATGCTGCCCACCGGATTCAAGAAGTTCGTGGTGCACAACGTGCGTGAGCTGGAGGTCCTGCTCATGCAGAACCGCGTCTACTGCGGGGAGATCGCCCACGGAGTTTCCTCCAAGAAGCGCAAGGAGATCGTCGAGCGCGCCAAGCAGCTGTCGATCCGCCTAACCAACCCCAACAGTCGCCTGCGTTCTCAAGAGAACGAGTAAGCTTAAGATTCTGTCGAGTTCTTATAACGTGGTCGGAATACAATTATACAAACGTTCAAAGCGGGCTTTTAGTTTGAAATAAGTGTGGATAATGTGTTGAGATATACTCTCGAGATTGGAATATATTCGGCGATAATCAGGATATCTTAGTTGACCATGGATTCATGTTGTGATAAATGTCATTAGAGCGAGTTCTTTTTGGTTACTCCACTTTTGAATCTCAATTTTGGGATTAAAAAATAAGAAAGTTATTAAAGTAGCAGAACAGCATAAGGTTTGATTAGTTTTAATCAGATATCGCACTTCACAAAAAACACAATTCGAATACCAGTAAATTATATTTTGCGGCGAAATCTACAATAGTCAAGTACAAAGACAAGGAGATATACTAGGGAGATATAATTACTTATATATATAATATATGCATATATATATATATATATAATTACTTATTGTAGGTAATAGTAGTTTTATTTCAAGACTACGTCGTGATCAAATTGCAAGTGGTGCTCGAGCTCCTTTTTGTTTTCGAAGTTGGTGTTGCATATGAGGCAAAAGCCACTGTTCTCGTCGTTGTCGGACATAATGACGGTGACGGCCGCCTCCGATTCGTCCACGTCCACGTGCAGCTCCTCGACCACCTGCTGCTCGTCGGCTGGCGCCTCCTCCCGCACACCGTAGACAACGTCGCCCTCGTGGGTCTTCATGTGCATCTTGAGGGTGTAGCGCTCGGTGAACGACTTTGGGCACACGGAGCAGTAGTGCCTCGGCCGATTCTCCTTGTGGATTAGCGTGTGATGGTTGAAGGTCTTGCGCGACTTGAACGAAACATTGCAGATGCTGCAGATTATCGGGTTCTCCTCGGCCTCGTGTCGCAGCCGGTGGTTGTAGAGCAGGTTGTCCTGCGAGAACCGCAGGCCGCACTTCTCACACTGGTACTTCTTCTTGTCCCAGTGCATGCGCATGTGCCGCAGCGTGTTCACTGGGCGCGAGAAGGTCTTGGGACAGTAGCGGCACTGCTTTTCCGTCTTGCCCTCGTGCACGTTCATGTGTAGCTCCAGGTACTCCTCGTCCCTTCGGATCACCCCGCAGATAGGGCAAATGTGGCTCGGCTGCTTGGAGTGCTCCTCACTGGTGTGCTTCTGCAGCTGGTACCAGGAGTTGAACACCTTGCCGCAGGTGCCGCACTCCTGCTTGACACGCTTTTTCATGGGCTTTTCTTCTCCATCGGAGGACTTGGCAAATTGGCCCTCAGAGTCGCCCACCTCCACCTCCTCGCAAATGAACTCCTCGTCGTCGTCGTCCTCCTCGTCTTCGTACTCCCTTTTTATGTCCGTATCGGATTCGTCCTGTTCCTTGACCAGCTCCACAAAGAGGGCGTCTGCCTCGGCATCCGCGTCTGTTTCGAAGTCGCTGTGAGGCACTTCCACCTCCTCCACCAGGATATCCTCGCCGGACTCGGGAACTTCAAACTCGAACTTCAGGGCTCCCTTAAGCTGATTAGTCAGCCGTTTCTGGGTGGTCATCAGGTTGACCATGATAGTGTCGTAGTCCGAGAGTTCCTGGAAGCATCGCGGGCACAACCGGGCGTTGGGCTTCAGGTCGAGCGACGTCTGTATGCAGTTGGCCAGGTGTGTGAGCACAAGCGAGACAGTCTTCTGCGACGAGGGCACTTTGGCCGTCAGCTTCTCGTAGCGCATGGAACTCGCACTGGAGGAGCCAGCGTCACCCAGCTCGACGGCGCCGCAAAAGAAACAGGTGTCCATTGCGGCTGGAGGATTCCAGGACCGATTGCGGATCAAGCGGCTTCTTGTTTACAATCTGAGCGGGGAAATTGTGTATAGAATTTAATAGAGTTGGCAAAATGGTTGAGTATCGGAAACTATACTAAAACGCGAAGAATGCAACCATGGCATCATTCCAGCCAGGGATGGCTACACATTTAAAAAAGATGCCAGCCTGGAACAGTGGGATTGAAACAGGGAGTGAAAATGTAGGACAATTTTATTCGAAAGTTGTATTAAATCTTTTAAATTATTAAATTTTTCGATTAAACTTAAATATTTGTCAAAAACTATGAGGTTTAGAAAAATGTCTCATTATGTTTTTTGAAATTATATTTTATTCATTTTTATGCACAGCTCATACATTTATTTGAAGATTTTGGTACAGTCATTTTATTAATATGCCTAGGTGATTGTATTAGGTTTACTTTTTTATTTTATCAAAGTAATTGTGTTTAAAACTTTACAAATATGTATTAATATACATTTTTAGACAAACTAATAGTTAATGATAAAACCTTCATTAACAATTAGTTATGTCTGCAAAATTATTTCTTAAAGAAAAATTTCGGTGCGCGTGCTCAATCTATCCTAAGGATTTCTGTTATTTGAAAACTGATAAGGTCGCTATCATTGCTAATGGCTTCCACAATAGTGTCCTGCGGGCCAAAAACAGAGCAATTTCCGCTTTGCTTTACAAAAGATCGATGTCTTTTAGCCACTGATTGACTGCTTCGCACAAAAGTTCGGGTAGCATTGCAAGATATTGGTGCTCGGGAGCCTATTGAGCAATCGGGTTCAAGAGTATCGTTGCTTATCACGTCCCTTAGCTTGGCCAGAACAGAATACAATATCTTAAGACGCTTTATGATGCGCCTGTGGTCCACAGGGATGTCAAGGTTAACAACTGCGTGACACTCCCTTAGGATCAGGGTGAGATCCTTGTGCACCCGCTTGCCATCTTCACTGAGCCCCGAATAGTTGACGGGAAGCCGAAAGTGCTCCAATAAAACATTTCCCCTCTGTACAATCACAATATAACGACTCCTATCCTGAACCTGGATGCTCTCGCCCAACATGTCCAGGTAGTTATTGATCAGTGAGCAGCTGTCAATGATTTCGTGGATTACGTTTCGGAAGATCAACAGTTCCTGGTTGAAGTGGTCCTCGAGGACTTTAGCATGGTGTGATGATAAAACGGATTCCGGCAACTGGAGAGCTGGCACAATAAAGGCATCCAGGGATTCCAAAGAAGCCAGGCAACTTCTCACGATCGTCTTAGTTTTGATGTCCTGTGAAAAAGCTATGGCCAGCACTCCAATTTGTTGGATGCGGTCCATATTGGTATCGAAGGTGGAGATCAAATCCTTGGCCCCGTCAGCATCTTTTTGCAAGGCTTCCTTTAGCTTGCCCACAGAAGTGTTCTCCAGTTCGATAAGGCTGACAAAGAGCAGGTGGAGCAGGGCCTCGTTTAGGAATGATTCCAAAGCATACAGAGCCCGCTCCAAGGAGAGAGCCTCCAGCTTGCGATGGCCATTATTGGGTTCACCTGCCTCCTCGTGAAAAGTGGCACACTCGCTGAGCAAAGTCTCACACAGAGCAGTCAGAGCCTTCTTGTCCGACGTAACGGCCACGTTCGCAAAGGCGAGGGCATGGCGCACTATGTGGTTCACTATGCTGGCCAGCTGGAAGCTGTCCTCCGCGAAGCTCTCCTCCAGAATGTGCAGTGAGCTGTTGCTCCTCTTAGCCAGCTTCTCCATGTAGTTATCCAGGTGATCCAGAGCCAAATCCATTAGCTCCACAAACGAGTAATCCTCAAGATTTTTTCTGTCCCTGCGCAGCTTTCCAGGCGCGTTAAGGATACCAGGAGCCTGCGAAGACACCAGTCCAAGCGGTCGAGAAAGTGCTGCCTGGTCATCTGCGGCGCCTCCATGTTGATGGTCCTTTCTAAGTGGGTTATGCATGTGACCACCTGGGTGAGGCACAGGAAGATGGTCTCCACGTCCAGGTTCGCGCCGCTGGGAGCCACCTCCGGCAATGTGGCCTTCAGGTCGCTGGCAAAGTCCAAGAATGTGGCGCAGAACTCGTTCAACCAGCCGATGTTGCCGGTGCTGCTATACCCTTCTGCAATCAGCTCGCCGCAATTATTCAACTGAGTCAACAAGTTATGCATTTTCTGTAAGATGTGCTCCGGGAAAGCCAAGTATCTCAACTAAATTCTTCCGGGCTACGGTTGCGATTTAAATACTCAAAATGTACAGGTAGAGCGGACCTCTTTTCGGACTGTTTAAAAAAAAAACATCTGGCCATTTTATTACTTAAGCCCGCGAAAATCCTTCACGTTACCTGCTAGTTTCCTGGAAAGCAGGCAAAGGACTGGTTTTTCCCTCAATGGTTGTTAATATTTAATTTTATGATACATACGCGCGCTTATGTGCTCATAAGCTGGGCTACTTAGATTAAACTAGCAAAGGACTACCCTAAAAGAACGCTGCCGTGGAATCCTTGGCCTCCGTCACCTCCGGTTTCTCGACCGGCTGGTGAACGCGCTTGTGCACCTTCAGGGTGTACTTGTCGACGAAGGACTTCTCGCAGTCGGGACAGGGGTAGCGGGGCCTATCGGTTTGGTGGGTGCGCAAGTGGTGCTTGTAGGTGCGCTTGGTCTTGAACTGCTGGTGACACACCTCGCAGATCAGGGCGTTCTCCTCGGCGTCGTGGCGCATCAGATGGTTGTACATCAGCCAGGAGAGCGAGAAACGCTCCCCGCACTTGTCGCACTGGTACTTTTTCTTGTCCCAGTGCACCTCCATGTGGCGCAGGACGTTGCGCTTGTGGGAGAACTTTTTTTCGCAGTAGCGGCACTCCAGCTCGGTCTTGCCCTCGTGCAGGTTCATGTGCAGATCGAGCACCTCGTCATCCTTGACCTTCAGGCCGCACACGTTGCAAGTGGCGTGCTCACTCTTTTGGCAGTTGTCCGCCTTGATGTGCCGCTCGAGAACCTCCTGGCTGGAGAACATCTCGCCGCAGATGTGGCAGGGTATCTCGGTTGTCTCGGTGAAGAACTCGTCCTCCGACGAGGGCATGCTATCGTCCGGCTCGCTGAAGCAAAAATCCTCGTCCAGCACCTCCTCCTTCATGAATTCTTCGTCTTCCTCCTCTTCCTGCTCCTGAAGAGGTGCAGCCTGGACGACCTTAAAGGCTGGCACTTGGACCTTAGCCCTCTTCACCGCCTGTTGCCTGGCCTCCGGCTTGCCCTCCACCTGTCGGCAGCCCAGCAGTGCATCCGCGATTTGGCGCTGGACCTGGCTGAGATTCCGCACTAATCTGTCGTAGTTGAACAGGTACTCCAGGCAGTCCCGACAGGCGGCAGAGTTGGGTGCTAGGTCCAGGCGCTGGTTGATGATCTTCTCGAAGTACTTCAGGATATCCTTGATTGGCTTAAAAGTTCCTGGCACTATGCAGCCTGCAAATTTTCAGGGGTCAGTCTTTTCTCTCCAAAAGAAGAGCAGTCATTACCTTCTATCAGCTGAAAGACTCCCACGGACTTTTCCTTGCCGCAAACGAAGCAAAACGGTCGCGTTGAGCTCATCTCTTCGCCTTAGGTCGAAAATATCGGCTTTAACAATTTAATTTGTGTATATTTTGTTGTGAACGCTCAATCGCATTGGTGTTGGTTTCGTGTAGTGTGGCCAGACGGCTTGAGGAACGGTGGAATCGAGTGGCGAGTCTGGTCATATGCAAAATAAAATTGAGTTTTTCGGAAATTTTGCCGGCTGGTAAGGAAAAATTTTCTATTTTTAAGTGCTTTTACGCCATGAATCGTGTTCAGTTATTCTCCAAAGGACTGCGACTGATTCACAAAATGTCAGAGGAAGCACTTGCAGGTGTGCCACTAGTGCACATCAGCCCAGAGGGCATCTTTAAGTACATCCAGATCAATGTCATCGATGGCGGAGATGCTTCTAAAGCGGTGGTTCGAGGTTTCTCAGACTGCGAGTGGCATGGTAAGACTTCCTTAAGCCTATTATTATACATTAAACTTTTCTCTCTTAGCTGACATATTCGATCGCGAGGAGAAAGTCTTTAAGAAACTGGGACTGCGTGCAGAGTGCCCTGGTGGCGGTCGCATTGAACATAACCCCGATAAAAAGTACATAAAGGTCTACGGATACTCGCAGGTTGGTCCATGGGCATGGGATTTACTTGGTTTTTCCTTTCTATGATATACTCTTTAATTTATTTTAAAGTTTGACTTCAAATAATAGCTAGTTATATTTTATATTGTAGGGCTTTGGAAAAGCTGATCACGCCGTTACCAAAAGGATTCTGGCAACCAAATACCCGGACTACACGATCGAAATTTCTGATGATGGATATTAGCTTTCCTCAAATGGACAGCGTTCTCATACCCTTAAAACAATTGCCTCCGATCCAAAGTGCCATGACTTTTATAGAAATGGCTTTTCAAATTTTCAATATTGTATTCTAGAAAGTTTCTGTGCAACTACCCATTCTAAACCTGTTCGGACCTAAATTTTCAAATTGTATACAAATTCCACACGTATTCCTTTTCGAAAATTAAAATGAAACTTCTAAAGTCCGTTACCCTTTTTCCTCGATGTGTCTTCCCGTTGCGTAAGTTTTTAAAGAAAATGTCTCGAAAAGTGCTGATATGCCCGATTTAATTTTTCTGACTAGAAAAATGTTATTCGACCGATTTAATCAGTTTGGTGGGAATTCCCAGGGTTAAGATAACAAAAGGTGAAAATCGTTATTTGTTGGCCCTGATTCATACTCACGGCTTTACGAATTTTGGAAGAGTTATCGTTCGGGGAGCTGATGTTGACAACCATTGTGAGTTTGTATGCCTGGATCTATCAGTGTATTCTTAAAAATTTTATTCAGTGGCCGTTTTCGACGCATTATTGGACGAAATGGAGCCACAGGGAATATGTGCGAAATGCCTTGGAGGTGGAAGGATTCTCAATGAAGAGGACAAGAAGCAAATAGAAATTTATGGCACCTCTAGAGTAAGTGAAAGAGTTGTTAAGGCTTGAACCGCTGACCAATTTTACTCTCAGACTTTCGGAGGTGCTGATCACAAGAGGACGAGGAATATACTTCAGGCGTGGACGACATACAAGGATTTCAATATCAAAGTTAGGCATTAAAGATTTAGTTTTTGTTGGCAAAAATACAGATTAAACATTAATAATAAATTTACTTTCTTTAAAATTAACAAAGTTTTCTTAAACATTACTCCTTTCCTTTCTACAAAACGGAAAAGAAAACTGAAGATGGGGATTTCTAGCAGCACTAGATAGAATAGATGAACTATTCTGCTGGATCAAATGTGCCATGACTTAATTGACGTTTTTTTTTTTTAACGGTTTGACTTAAGGTCTTCGCATTAATCAGTCTAGCAGGAGGCTTTCTACTGTCCAGACCAGCTTTTTCGGAATACAACATCTAAATTTTAGTGCCAGATTTTCCTCTACAAATTTTCCAAAATGAAAAATTTAAAACTTTTGGCTCCTCTTTCTCAAATTATTAAGCCCGTTCGTAGGCAAAGTGTTTCGCGAGTTAACGCTCTTCTGATAAATGTACCTCGAGTGCAGATCTCGAAGGGAAAGAATAATTACCTTTTGATGGTCATTCACATGCATGGCCTAACCAAATTTGGACGTACAATCGTTCGCGGATCCGATTCAAAAAATCACGGTACGTTTGCTTCTACGGAAAATTAAATTTCTCAATTTTTTGTTGTTTCTAGAGCAAATTTTTGAGGAAACAAAAGTGGAAATGGATGAAATTGGCATTTGTACAAAGTGCTTGGGTGGAGGATTCATTAAAAACAAGGAAGAAGAGAGGTTTATTAAGATTTATGGCTGCTGCAAGGTAAAATTATTTCAGTTTTAATAAAGCATTTTATAATTGGGCCTATACATAGACCTTTGGAGAAGCGCCCCACGGCAGGACTAAGGATATACTGCTGTCTTGGACCAAGTACCAGCACTTTAATATCGTCTTGCCGAAAAAGAATATGAACGCGTTTGAAGAAGCAGCACCAAAGGAATAAACAAATAAGAACAATAATAAAAGGCTGTGACGTCGTTTGAACATTTTTTTATTGGGATCTTTCTCTTATTTTAAAATAAAATACATTTTAAATAAAAATGTACAATGCAGTTTCGAATTTAAAGGAAAAAGATGGTTCATGATTGGTTAAGCGCATTTGGGGTAAAAAAAAGCTATTCACAATCTGGTAACACTATCGAACTTATATTCGGACAATTTGTAAATAAATAATTATTGGAATAAATATATGACAAAATGAGCTCGGGGCCTATGCGCACACCCGTCTCGCAGATCATCCAGAGCAAGCACGACCAGGATGCCGAGGAGGAGCCCAAAAAAAGTCGCGCGAGGATTGGCGCAAGGCCAAGGAACTAGAGGAGGCCCGAAAGGCGGGAACGGCCCCAGCAGCCGTCGACGAAGAAGGTCGCGACATCAATCCGCACATTCCGCAGTACATATCCAATGCACCGTGGTATTACGGATCGGCGGGACCCACGCTGAAGCATCAGCGCCCGCAACACGAAGACGAGCAGGGCCAATTAGATAAGAGGGCTCCCAAGGGGCTGAACACCTCCCGCATCATCACCAAATTTCGGAAGGGAGCCTGTGAGAACTGCGGAGCTGTGACTCATAAACGAAAAGATTGTCTGGAGCGACCACGGAAAGTGCAAGCCAAATACGCCGAATCGATTGTCGTGCACGATGAGCATCTGGTCAACGAGGCAGCAGTGAACTACGATGAGAAACGCGATAGGTGGAGCAGCTATGATCCGGCGAACCACAGAGAGATTATAGAGGAATACGAGAAGGTGGAGGAGGCCAAGCGGCAACTAAAGGCCGAAAAACTCAAAAATGGTAGGTGCAATCCCGTTACGAGTCCCAATTTCTACTTTATCTATTTTTTTACTCGTGCAGATCCCGATGCCGAAATATCTGACGAGGAGGGTAACGAGGACAAATATGTTGACGAGGTGGATATGCCGGGAACCAAGGTGGACTCCAAACAGCGTATCACTGTGCGCAACTTGCGAATTCGCGAGGACACAGCGAAATACCTTAGAAACTTGGACCCCAACTCGGCTTACTACGATCCCAAAACACGTTCAATGCGTGACAATCCCAATCCCGCAGTGCCCGAGGAAGAGTGAGTATCCGAAAGTTGCCGCAAATTAATGGTTTCTTTACAACTTTTTATCATTAAGAGCTGAGTTCGCTGGCGAAAACTTTGTGCGCTTCTCTGGAGACACCACAGCCCAGGCTACCGCCCAGTTATTTGCCTGGGAAGCTCATGGCAAAGGGGTGGATGTGCATTTGCTGGCCGAGCCAACTAAGTTGGAGCTGCTCCAAAAAGAGTACGAGCAGAAGAAGGAACAGTTTAAGTCGAGTGTAAGTGTACAAATTAAATTTTTAAGGAGTTTTTAAAAAAACGTTTTCTTGCTCGTCTAGACCAAAACGCACATTGTGGAAAAGTACGGAGGCGAAGAGCATCTGCAGGTCCCGCCAAAGTCGCTTCTGCTGGCCCAAACCGAGGAGTACATCGAATACTCACGCAGCGGCAAGGTGATTAAGGGTGTGGAGAAGCCAAAGGCAAGAAGCATATACGAGGAGGATGTTTACATCAACAACCATACGACCGTGTGGGGCAGCTTTTGGAGCGCCGGTCGATGGGGCTACAAGTGCTGCAAGTCCTTCATTAAGAATTCCTACTGTGTGGGCATGCAGGAGCCGGAGGGCTACTCGGACCAGCACCCCACCAGTTCCAGCACAGCAGCTGCAACAGAGCCAGCTGTCCAAGCCCAATTTAAAATACCAGAAGTTCCGTCAGAAAGAGCAGCCTCCGAAGGGAACTCAGCCTCGAGTTCGGAATCGTCCTCATCGGAGGAGGAAGAAGTAAAACCGCAGAAAAAGAAGTCCAAGAAGAAGTCGAAGAAGCGCGAGAAGAAAAAGAAGGCCAAGGAGCAGCGCAAACAGAAGTCCAAAGACAAGGAGGCCAAGGAGAAGGAAAAAACGAAGGAAAAAGAAATTCCCGAGGAAATGGATGACCGCAAACGCTCCTACAACAGTATGTATGACGTAAAGGCGCCAACAGAGGATGAGATCGAGGAGTGGAAAAAGAAGCGTCCGAGGGCAGAAGATCCCATGCTGCAATTTATGTAAACATCAAAATAAAGCTTACTAAACAATTCATTTTTCATCTTATCTAAAAACGAGGATGTCGAGAAAAGTCATCTTTAATGTTAAACGATAGCATACTGCTCGTAGAGAAGCTCCCTGATTCTGTAGTATTCTTCGGACAAACAGCCCTCCATGGCCACTTTGCCGGCATCCACGCGCCTCAGTGCCAGGGTTCCATTGCTACACCATAGCACGCCGCCCGAAAATTCGGAGTTTATGTTGTTTCGCATGAGAATCTGCTTAAAATCGGAGAGCTTAAGCTCGTTAATGAGCACAGAGTTGTGTACGGGGATCTCGTCTTCAGCTAGCGTTTCCAGGGTCAATGTCTTGCCCTCCTGCACGGCCGCATCCTGCTCCACGGTGACGTCCATGGGTGCATCGATGGCCTTGACGCGCATTCCCAAGCGACCATCAACCCACGCCACCTCGGCGTCCTTGCCTTTTTGAAACTGGAGTTGGGAGACAAGGCCTTCGGTCAAGCGCACCTGGTAGATGTGGATCTCAGTGGTTACGTCAATAATCTCGCCTTTTTGGGGCGTGAAAACGCGTGCACCAACATTCTGCTCGCAGTGTTTGGCCACCACCTGGGTGCCCTCTGCAGTGCCGTGGACTACGATGACCCGTCGCGGTCGCAGTTGCGAGAGAATCTTCAGCATCGACTCGCCATCGGATCGGCCTTCGAAGTCGATTCGCTGGATCTGGGCATTGACTTCGATGGTTTTTCGCTGGTTTATTAGTTTAGTGGGCTTCTCTAGAAGCTGAACGTCGTTGTCGCCGATGCCGCCGTTAGCCTGATGATCTGCTCCCACGCCCGGTTCTTCCTTCTTTACGTTCTCCTTGTTCTGCTCTTCCATTGGCACAAAGTCATAGCCTCCCGTGTCTGCGATGCGGTAGTCGTCCAGATTGATGATTTCGCCGTACTCATCGTACTTGATCTTCTCCTCGTGGTAGGGGAACATCACGTGGTGCCGCTTGTTGGACTTAAAGAAGCCGGAATGGTGGCGACCCTCCGGCCGAACTACAATGTCGTGCTTGCCCGTAATGACGCTCATCTCTATGTCGTCCTCGGACTCGGAGCTGCTTTCTTCCTCTACATCGGGCTTCACGATAAGGGGGTTAAGCTTCTCTCCTTGTGTGCGTATGTACTCATCCAGCTCGGCGCCTTCCAACTCAACTCTTCGCCGGACGTCCAACTCGAATTGCTTGCCCGGCGTGCAGTTTTCCACTAGTTCCATGGCCAAAGTACCTGGAGAGGTGCGCGTAGTTAAAATAATGCTATTGTTGGCATTGCTGGCCCATTGGACAAAAAGGTCCCTCGTAAATCCGCTCTCCAAGTCAGGAGTGCTGGCCAGAACGACTTTTGGACCGGCTGGCAACTTGTAGACGTCCGCCAGCGAATGGCATAGTTGGATATGCTTGAACTGAAAGGGATTATTGCGGGCTCCTTCGAAGGCTTTCGTAAGCTTGTCGCTCATCCACTCGATCTGCGATTTCGCAAACTCAATCACGTTGTAGCTCACGTTGTTGAGCAGAGCTAGGGAGTAGGCCATGAGCCCCGACTCCTTGTTCTTCCACAACTGATCCAACATGTGAGCCAGCTCTAAAACCCTTCCTGCCGTATCAACGGCTATAAGGACATTGCCATTGTTGCGCACCGTTTGCAGAATGTTAGTCATCAGCTTTTCGTCCCGTGCTCGCCTTCTGGCTTGCTGGTACTGCGCATTATAGGCATCTGTGATGAGCAGCGAAGGTCTTTGCAATCTGTCTAGCTCACAGCCGCTTAAGTGGCGCTCCTTTTTGTGGTTGAAGTCTGTGGCATAGACAATATCCTCCTCGCCCACCTTGACGATCTTCCAAATGGTTCCGCCAATCATGTGTCCTGCATTCAATGGCGTTATAGATATGCCGTAGCCTTTGCCTTTGAGCGAAACGGTTTGGTTGTACTTCAGCTGGGTGATCTTTTCGAAGGCTGTGTCCACGTCGTCCAGCGAGAAAAGATCGAAGTCGCCCATATTGAAGTGCGACATGTACAGGTCGTACATAAACATCTGACCCATTTTGAACACCGGAATGGTGGCGTAAATCGGGCAATTAAGACCCAGCTTGCCCACCAAATAAGGCAGGGCACCAAGGTGATATGCATCCGGGTGGGATAGTAGAACAGCATCTAAGGTGTGCACCTGCCTGAATATACCAAAATCGTATAAGGGTTTATCTTTTGGAGATTTACTTTAAGTCACCTCTTTAGTTCCTTGATAAAGTTGGCATCGAACTTCTCGTCCCAACCGCAGTCGAGTAAAATTCGCACATCGTCGATTTGAAGGATGTAGCACGGCGGGGACTCGTCCATCGCCCCGGATATAGTGTGTAGCTTTATTATAGACGTCATTTTGAACAATTCGACAGTCGGCACATTTGTTTAACACGAGAGATGGTTAAAATAAACTTGTTTTTCTCCGCCGGTCCAGGGATGCAAAGCAACCATAGTGTTGCCAGACAGTTTTCTGATTCGTTTGTTTATACAGTAAACATCAGTAAAGCAACAAAACTATAACAAAACCTAAAAGTTTCCTGTTGTTGCATGATATTCGATATTGCATGATATGCATTATCGAAATTTTACTTCGATGGATAAGTAACTTAAAGAAATTGTACTTGACAGATTATGACACAGTATTTGTCTGAGTTTCAAATTTTATCTGAATTAAAACCATTACCTTCAGTGTGCCATTTTATTGCCTGCTCGTTTAATCTATGACTCAAAATTAATTATTGACTTGACTTATCTCAAATTTATAAAAAACTGTTATCTGCTTTTTGTTTAATTAAAAGGGTGCAGTCGAACATTATAACTTGGCCGCCCAACAAAAACAATTTTTCCGTTACAGTAAACGCTATGAATGGGGAAAATTGTATTTTCTCTTTCGGTAGAAAATCTAAGCTATTTTACAATAAATGAATATTCAAATTAATTTAAAAGACATAAATCAATAATAAAGATGAGCTTTGATTTTAAACACTTATTTATTGGATTCATTTTTAGGGTTAAATAGACAAGGTTTTACTGTGAGCGTCGTATTGGTTAATTGCGTCCCTGGTCGCCAGCTGCTTTTCGCCAGCCCGCGAATCGCGATTGCGTCCGGAATTGGGATGCGGAGTTTCAAAAGATCTCGCTGAGTCTCGAGTTCCTGCCAACGATGTTCGTGCGGCTCTGGGTTCGGAGCTTCCACATCTACGATTTGCTCCTGACCATCGGGTTGGTCACGCTCATCGTTTATCTGTGTCTGCCCTTCCGGTTCGCCTCGCACTACGAGTACATTGATGGATCGCGGATCGAGCAGGCCCTGCTGCCCCAGGTTACTCGCAATGTGTCCTTGCAGGAAGTGTTCGAGTGCACCTATTCTGAGGTTATCGCCGCCAACAGGTTTGTCTACAACCTGGCCCACTACCACGAGGAGGTGCAGCTCGGCGCGGAAATCCGTCCTGGCGGCGAGTTCCGACCGGAGGAGTGCCAGGCGAAGTACAGCACCGCCATCATTGTGCCGTACAGGCAGCGCGAGGAGCAATTACATGCTTTTCTCACTTACATGCACAACTACCTGCCCCAGCAGCTGATCCACTATCGGATATTCCTGGTTGAGCAGTTCGACCACAAGCCCTTCAACAGGGCAATGCTCTTTAACATTGGCGCCCAGGTGGCAGCGGAGTACGGGTTCCCTTGCCTGATCCTGCACGACGTAGACTTGCTGCCGCTTAACTCCGGTCAAATATACGCCTGCACGGAGCGACCGCGGCACATGTGCTCCGCTTTGGACCACTGGCGCTTCCGCCTGCCCTACCGCGGACTTTTTGGCGGGGTGGTGGCCATCAACACCGTCCAGTTCCAGCAGATCAACGGTATGTCAAATCTGTACCACGGCTGGGGCGGCGAGGACGACGATCTCTTCGAGCGCCTGAAGGCCCTTAACATCGACATCTGTCGTTTTGCGATGGAGTTCAGCGAGTACACAATGCTTAAGCACAAGCCGGAGCGGCCCAACGCAAACCGGGTGGCCCTCCTCAGGGCGGCCACTCTGCGCCAGCACTCCGACGGACTTAACTCTCTGGTGTACAAAGAGGTAGAGCGGCGCATGCACAGCCTGTTCACTCACATCCTCGTGGAGACCTGAGGACAGCATTATTTGTTATATCTAGCTTGTAGGCCAACAGTTTTCGTAGTCGGTAATTCGAATTGTTTTAGATTTGGGTGCACTAAGCTTAGCAAACGATTAGCAGCCGCCTTAGACAATGCGTTCCAGATCGATCGTGATATCTCACTCACTAGGCTAAGATGCTGGGGAGGTCGGGAGTAGTCGAAGTTTTAATTAAAGTACAATGCGGATGTCTTAGATTATCGCCAAAGATAGCCGCCATGTTAAGCACGCTCTGCCTCTGCCAATAATAAATTAAACTATTAAAGTCAATTTGTTTTAATGGGAATAACCAAAAAATGTTATTTGTAAGTGTTAAGAAAGCTTTTTATATTGTCAACAAGAGTTGTTAGGAACCAAGTTATCGCACCAATCGAAACTTGCTGAACTCTTGAACATTATCACTTCGCCGGCAACAGTTGTTATCTGACAGTCAATAACACCACATAGTGAAATTAGCCATGAGTTTCTTAGGCGCATTACGCAAAACTATTGTTTTTCTGGCAATTTTCCTGGGAGCCTTCTTCGTGCTTCCTGGATTACCTCCTAGCATCACCTTTCCCTTTAAAGAATATGTGTAAGTGGGTTGTATTCGACACTTTTTAACTAACTATAATTTTGTGTTTTATAGTATTAAACCCGCCAGAGAACTAAAGGGTACCCTTGAGCCAAACTATCACCTAAACGGTGCCAGGCAATTGTGGAAGAATCAGGTCTTTGGACCGGAGTGCCTGTTAGCATATAATGACGAGATTATCACTGGCATTCACGGCGGAGAGGTCCTTCGGTTAAATAAAGCAGAGACGATTCAGCCTTTTACAAAGATAGGAAAACCGTGTGGTACGGAAATATCTGTAAATTATAAACCATTACTTATATGTATGTTGGTGATATTTCTCCTCATAGATTTTATCTTTGATGATGCGTTGTGTGGCTATCCCGTGGGCTTAGGCCTTGACACACAAGGCAACAATCTGATCATAGCCGATTCTTACTATGGGTTATGGGAAGTTAGCCTAGATACGAAGAAAAAGACAATATTGGTGTCTCCGGATCAGATTCTGCCTGGGAAGAAGGTAAACCGTCGGGCGAGGCTGTTTAATGCGTTGGTAATTAGTCGACAGGGAGACATTTACTGGACTGATTCTATGTCCGACGACATGGTCTTAGCTCCCTTTGCTAATCCCTCTGGTCGGTAAGTTTAACTTAAGCAAAGGTGTGCTAAATTATTAATCGAACTTGTGTTTAGACTTTTTAGATTCAACCGCAAGAAGAAGACAAACGAGGTACTGCTAGACGAGTTGTGCTTTGCCAACGGCTTGGCTTTAAGCCCCAACGAGGACTTCTTAGTCGTGGCTGAAACGACGGCGATGCGGCTGACCAAGTACCATCTTAAAGGACCTCTTCAGGGTCAAAACGAAGTCTTTGTGGAGGGTTTGCCTGGCTGGCCGGATAATCTCAGTGGCGATAAGGAGGGAATTTGGGTGCCCTTGGGCGTGGCCTCGGATAATGAGAATCCTAACTTGTTTGCCTCGTTGGCACCATATCCAAAACTTCGATATTTCCTTGCTCGCGTAGTGGGTCTGCTGCAGCTTCCCTTCCAAATTTCAAACTACATATATCCAAACAATATTTCGGCTCGCCTTTTCCACTCGTTTAATATGCTGGCGCTCAGCAAGTCGCCCAATCGAAGCACTGTGGTAAGAGTGGACTGGAATGGAAACATTGTAAGATCCCTGCATGGTTTCGATAGATCTGCTGCAGGATTATCGCATGCCTTGGAAATGAATGGTCGTTTGTATTTAGGATCGCCATTCAATCATTATATTGCCGAGGTGAAGTTGCCTGACGCTGTGTCAAAGTCTGCTGATGAATCTGAAACAAACTAGTTGCTTAATTAGTATGTGCATAAAGTTAGCAGAACAATTTTTGAATTAAAAATTTGTTTCTTTCTCATAATTTGCCGTTAATTATCCGTAAAATATTCGTGAAAGAATCAAATTTGCCGCTCAAATTTTAAATTTTTTATTTTTAAAAGACTTATATGTTCTGTTCAAGTTATTTTACAACCAAAATATACAACTCAAGGAAAAAATTGGATATTTTTGTCATCGCCAATCCTAATTTATGTTGCATATTTACAAAATTATACTTAAAATAACTACAAAATAAAAAATAAGTTAAAGAAAATATAAATGTAGGGGAGAAGTGGGGGTTGTGGGCATGGGTCGGTTGTGGGCACCCCTACGTATATCTTCACAAAATGAAGATAGAATTTTTTTTGGTAATGTCATTCGCAAGCAATTACCCTATGTATGATTTGTGCCAAATATCAAAGTAAACAAGAAAGGAAGCTAGCTTCGGCAAGCCGAAGCTTATATACCCTTGCAGTCATCAAACAAATCGAACAAAATACATAAAGGCTAACAACCTCGAAGCTATGACGATTTTTCTATTAATTTTCCATATTTTCGACTGTTGTTCATATGGCAGCTATATGATATAGTAGTCCGATTTTTATGAAATTTTTTTCTCGGTTCAAGGGTAGTTCATAAAGTCGATGTTGTAAAAATCATGCTCGTGGAATAAAAAACAACAACGTTATAATTATTTTGCCATTATTTCTATATACATTTTTGATCTTTCCTATGGCAGCTATATGATAGGGCTATCCTATTTTGATAAAATTTAATCCGAAATTCAATAACCGTTAGAAAACGCCATCTTGAAGAATTCAAGTCGATCTGATCAAAAACAACGGCGTAATAATTTTTTATCCTTTATTTTTTTGACCTCTTGTATGGGAGCTATCCGATATAGTCGGCCGATCCGGCTCGTTCCGACATATATACTGCGTGCAACAACTACACAACTTTTGGGAAAGTTTCAGCACGATAGCTTTAAAACTGAGAGACTAGTTTGCGCGGAAACGGACAGACGGACAGACGGACAGACGGACAGACGGACAGACGGACAGACGGACAGACGGACAGACGTACATACATATTTCGATTCAGATGGTGATGCTGATCAAGAATATATATACTTTATGGGGTCTGAGGTGTCTCCTTCACTGCGTTGCAAACTTCTGACTGAAATTATAATACCCTTTGCTCTGCAAGGGTATAACAAACGCGTTTGCTTTTTGAAATTAACGAATTGGTTTTTCTTGTGCTTGGAAAAGGTGGTGAAACTTTATTCAAAGATTTTCAATAGTGTATCAATTAAAGTGAATCGATTAAAAAGGTAAGTGTAATGCATTTTTATTTTGTCAAAGCAATATACTAAATGGAACAATATCGATTTGAACCAAAAAATTTATGCAAAAAAATTTTTTAATTACTTCTTAAAATGCCTGCGAAAGTTGGTTGTGGGCACCAAAATTGGGGGGTTGTGGGCACCCCTTTTTTTTGGCCAATTTTTTTATTACCGACAATTTCTTGTAAAATTGTTTTCAAAATTTGTTTGGAACCCTCTAGAACGTTCTTGTAGAAATTTTAGGCTCTTGGAAAAGGATCCTCTCCCGCTGAGAGGGATTATCACTCAATTGTGACATCTGCGATCGAGCTTTTCATCGGAAATGTGTGGACATGCGGGGCAGTCATTTTACATGTCAAAATTGTGTTTCCGACGATGAATAACGCCTATGTAGTCTTTGAAATAAATAAATTGTCATTTTGTTGATATTGGTTGCGGTTTTTTTCCATATTATTCCATTTGCAGCATTTTTTCCCAGGGTGCCCACAACCCCCCCCCAAAAAAAAAATTTTAGCTGAAAATTACGATTTTACAAAAGTCCATATGAATTTTTTTCGCATGACAAAATCAAGTATGTTTCTTCATAATTAGTTAGCTTAGGTCTCTAGCTTTACACAGATACCCATATGTCCAAATAATATGCACTAGTTCGGTAATTATAAGCCAAAAACAAAACTATGCCCACAACCCCCACATCTCCCCTACATCACGCATTTTTTAATTAATTCACTCTGTGGATAATTACACAAAAGCACTTCAGATCACTGAAAATGTTTTTTTTTTTTAAATTGATATATTTTGTAAAACATAAGTAAGGAGCAATTGCACAATGCACAGAACAAAGTTGGTTGGCTTTTTGTCTAGCTAACAATACATATGTATTCTATTTAACTACTTGCATTCGTGTCATTTCACACTTGATATCGATTGCGGAATGTGGGGCAACGAGCAAGAATCCAGCGGATCTGTGTTAAAATCTAAAGTAGTATAATTAAAAACATTTTTAACAAACACGCACACATATAGACGAGACATTCACACTCATTCATGGATAAATTTAAATGTATAAATATATGTATAAGTGAATATTAAGTTGGGTCGTTTTGCACGGCTTAAATCCGAGGGAAGATTTTTATAAATGGATTTAATACTTGGTTTCCATAGTCTTTGAAAGAAAACGGCCAGAATTGCCCAAAGATAAGGCCTAGAATTCTGTGATGCACAAAACGACGCAACATAATAATTTAGTTGCCTTGAATAGGATATATGGAATATGCAATTACATATCTACGATTTCGTCTAGTTCAAGAAGTTAAGTATGTCCTGCTGGGAAAGTGCGTTGAGGTTTTGGTTATCCGATGCCAACAGGGGCTGCGTTTGCGGCTGTAGTGTGGGAGCCTGGCTGGGTTTTCCCAGGAGCTGCTGCTGCTGATGCTGCTGGATACTGTTCAGACTATAGCCAGTTGGATAGATGTAGTTGACTGTGGGCTGCTGCAGCGTGTACATATTGGCACCGTTTGTGTTGCTGGGCTTGGGAACACCTGCAGCGGCTCTTCCGCCAGCAAATGGGTCCAGATCGTCCAGCGAGAAGGTGTTGTTGTTGCTGGCCTGGGGCGAGGCCAATTGATGGTTCATCACCAGCGGATTAGCGCTGTGCCAGCCGTTGTTGGTCGGCACTTGTGCAGGAGATGGTGCAGAAACTGCTGCCGCGGCAGTGGTGCCCAGCCCAGTTAGGTTGCTCTGCATCATTGAGGAGAGGATATCCGGCCTGACTGCTGGCTGCGCCGACATTGTGCTGTGCGATATTCTGGAATAACAAAAGTGGTTCTTGAGTTTCAGCTGCTTCGGATCCGTCTTGATTGATCCCTACTTGAGCTGTTCCCTAGCCTTAGCGGGCGCCAAGGGAGCGGCGGTAGCCGCTTTTGGCTGGCCTACAGTGAATCCGGAGAACATGTCATCGTTGATTTTGTTGCCATTGCTGACACCGCTTGGGGACAGAGTAGAACTCTCCAGTTCGTTGGCCAGTATTTCGGAAGCGTCTTTGGGTCTGCGTGGGATTATAAGTATTATAATTTATGTTCGATATAAAAACATTAATCGTACTTATTGTCTCTTTGTATAGTGGACAGTTGCTGCAGTTTCTCCCGCTGCTCCTGCTCCACGCGGCCCAGCATCTCCTTAATCAGAGCTATAATTGTGTTGAATTGCGCTATGGTGAGGCCGTTCTCCACACTTAAGGGAACCAAGTAGGGAATACACTTGTGTGCCATCACGTCCTTGGTTATACCCAGTTTGGTGTTGGTCATGGCGATTTTGTAGATGCCTAAAACGGGCGATCATTAAAAATGTCGTTATTTGTGTTGCTCGACGAACTCACCAATAATCCCCATTATTATAGCGGGCTCGCGGCTTTGAATCTGCTGCAAAAAGGGCAGAATCTCGTCTAACACCAGCCACTTGTCCAAATTCTCCAGCAGCTTGCCGATGGAAATCAGACAGTTAACCTTCACTGATACGTTGCTGCTCTGCAGGCACAATTTTTTGATGCGCGGCAGCACCGAGTTCTTCATGGCGTTGTAGTCGATCAGGGTGGAGAAAGTGGGAAGCACCGCCAGACAAAGGTCCTGGATCTGTGGCATGTCGCACTCCAGTGAGCGATACAGTAGCGGGAGTACACTCAGCTTCACCTCCTCCGCCGGCGTGAGCTTCAGCAAGAGGTCCATCTTCTGCATAAAGATGAGCAGAATCTGAATGGGATCTGTAAGCTTGAAGATGGGCTTCAGGTGCGGAAGAATGTGGTCGCAGTACTCCCGCTGGCTGCTCATTTCAGCGATGAGCAGAACATTTGGCAGCACGAAGGGAATCATCGGTGAGTTTACGAACTCCTTGACCAAGTAGGGCAGGATCGAGTGCAGATTGACGCGGTGCGGCAGCGTGGGAATGATTTGCGGCAGGCCTTTGTAAAACTTGGACTTCTGCAGGTTGTCCCACTGGTAGAGCGAGTCTAAGTAGCTAAGGGTCTTCACTCCGACGTCCTGAAAATACGCAATCTGTTTAAGTTCGTGCAGTTTTGGCCGCATATTGGCACTGGGGTGCAGCAGCGCCTTGAGGCTCTCGGTCAGATCGCTGGGCACTGCGTTCATGGGAGGATACTTCCGCTGGTTAAGATCGTTGGCGTAGCGCCGAAAGCTGCTGTAATCACTGCCAAACATCTTCAGGGGCTTGCCGGCATAAATGGTGAATATAAGAACGCCTGGAGTAGGGATTATTTTTATTTATTTATAATGAAGAACTTAAGGTACTCACCCAACGAAAAGAGATCACTGTCCGGGGTGTTGACACTGTTCAGGGCCAACTCCGGTGCCGTGTACTCCAGACTGGGCTGCGCCAGGACATGCAGCGAGGTGGTGTATTCCCGGAAAGGCCAGTGAGGAGTGCCGTCCGTGGCCGGCTGGTTGGCGATACAGAAGTCGAATCCAAAGAGCTTCCAGCTTCGGTTTTTGTTGATCACAATCGTCTCCGCGCTGATGTTGCGGTGCACGATCTTGGCGTCTTGGTGGAGAAATTGGAGGCCATCGAACAGCTGCAGAAGTCCGTGTCGGATCTCCACGTCGTACAACTTCTTCTCAGAGCGCACATTGTCGCCCACGACGTTGGCCAGCGAGGCGAACACGGGCTCAGTGGCGAAAGCCAAGGAGTCTCGGCTCTCCTCCAGCGGGTGCTGCACGGTTAGGACGTGTGGGTGACGGATCTTGGTCAGCTGCTGTACTCCGCGCCGCAGTGTCTCCAGCATCGTCTCCCGGTCGTCCTTGGACCAGCGCTCCAGAGACTTCTTTTCGAAGACGAAGACGGACACCTCCTGCTTGGTGCTTTTCTTGTGTCCATTGTACACCTTCCACATGAGACCTGTTTGGTGGTTAGTGACCAGCGTTAGCTGCAATATGTTGGTCTCCGGGCGGAACACTCACCCACTCCGGCGGTGCACACCTGCTCCAGCACCTCGTACTCCCGCGTCACGTTGTTCCCGGGCAGAACGCCGGACAGGGTGGACACCGTCTGCACGGCGGACGAGTAGAACTTGTTTATCATGTCCATCCTGGGGCGGGTTTGCGAATTTTCAGCAACTGCGGCCCAGAAGTTTGTCCAAAATAGAGCTGGAACGAAAATCAATGTTTTCTCGATAAACTTGGCAACATCGACTCTGGTCGTGACACGCTACAAACACGCCATCTATAATAGCTCTTAAGGTTCTCTACATGTACTCATCGCGTAGATCTCAGCTTACCACTTCTTCCCACTTTTAATATAATTTAAAGTAGTGTTTATAACATATAAATTTAAAGATAAGTTGTACTTGGCCTCAGGCTTCACAGAGTAACAGATTAACAAATTATACACTTTATGCAAAATGGGACTTTTCAAAATGAAATATACAAAGCTTACATGTAACGGTAATCTGCACCGATGTATCGATTTTTTTTTTGGAAATTAGAGCGGTAAATTTATGTATTGGATTTTCAATAAGAAATAATGTTTTAAGTTTGGGTTTGTACTTTTTGGCTTCATAACAGACAGAATGTTATTTACAACGTATAATTCTGTAAAATCGAATAGAGAAGATAATGGGTATATTTTCCTGATCTTCATTCGGCCACACTCCAATTGCGCCTCAGAATCTAGCCAATAAGATAACATATTTAAATAAGGCGCTCTATAACTCCGAGGAGCGGTAGTAATTTCATCAACGATCCCAAAGTAAAGATAGACTTTCAGGAAATGATTAATTTCCCAAGCCCCAAAAACTTTTCGAAGGAGGGGAGTCCCCAGCCTGGTGATTCACCAAGCATCGTTGCCCCACCTAGAAACTTGAGAACACATCAGCTTCAGAACGCATGGACCCTGTGGCGCATCGACCAAGGTAAAAACCAGTCGTGGGAGAACATGCTTCGCAGCCTTGGCAGCTTTAGCACCGTCGAGGACTTTTGGAGCCTATACTGGCGCATTGAGCCGCCTTCAAAGTTAAAAAATGGTTCTGATTATTTCCTGTTCAAGAGTAACATTCAGCCCATGTGGGAGGATCCGGCAAACAAGGAGGGTGGTAGGTGGTTAATCGCCCTCCAGAAGGGCTCTACAAATCTGGACGCAGCTTGGCTAGATATGCTGCTCTGCCTGATTGGCGAGGTCTCTGATCACTCGGATCAAATCTGTGGAGGTGTCGTTAGGATCCGAAAAAAGGGAGATAAGATTTCCCTCTGGACCAATAATGGCAAGGACGAGGAGGCCGTCCTGGAGATCGGCCATAAAATACGTCAGGTCGTTAGTCTCGAATTCAATCAACGGATTCAGTACCAAGAGCACATGAAAGAGGCTATTGGCTCCGGACTGATGCACTTTTTGTAGGCCGTGGGTTCCTTAGATTTTTGTTAACTTTTTTTGTTTATATATATTAACATTTTTCGATCTCTGGGCCACCAAAAAAAATTACCTTCAAAAGAATACCAAATACCAATATACCAAAATTTGTTAAATATATTTTCGAAATAAAATAAATTTCAAACTATTACTGTGCTTCTTCGAATCCATCCGCTTTTTGCTTCTGCCGCCCGACAATGCTGTTTTTGCGTTGTGCAAAACGGAATGTGAATTTAAAATAGGCTTAATTGGTAATTATTTTTGTATTGTTTGTTTTAAATTACGATTACGATATTGCACTGGCTGCGGAAATTCTCATGGTGGTCTCAGAAACGAAGATTTAATAGCCGCATTTGTATTCCGCAGCTAAAAGCAATTTTTGTTTCAAATGGCTGATGAATCTGAGCACTACCAAATTCCTGGTTTAGTCTTAAGTAATAACAATTGTGCACTACCAAATTCCTGGTTTATTCTTTAGTAACAACAATTGAAAATAACAAAGCAACATTTTTTAACTACAAGTACACTTTTTCTCACATAAACGAAAATTTACAAAATCAAAAGAATCAGATTAAAATCGGATAATGAAATAGAGAGCTTTTAAGTAGTTTTAAGATCCTCTACAAACGTGAAGTAAACATTAGTCGCTGCTTGTGGTTTTTTGTCGAATATCCAGTCCATTAGTAATAAATATTCTCCAGTGGGTATGGGTCCAGGCAGCTTTTCGGATCTCAGATAAAAGTCCTTGACTTGTTGCAGACCCTAGTCCGAAATTAAGATATATAAATGAATATTCAACAACAAAGTACTTACATCATAGGGACAGGAATGGTTGATTGTCGAGAATTCTTTAAAAAGATCCCAAACAAGACGAATCAGGGCATTGTTTCGCCGCTTTGCGAACTGGCAAGCATCGAAATTGACGCTGTATAGCCAGGGCTTCCAGCCGTTGGCCCTCTTCATCAACTGGGCTTTGACCATGACATTGTTCGCCGGATGAAGCAAATTGACATCAACATTAAGGCACACTTTATTCCGATTCACGGCTCGCAGGCGGCAAACACCGAACTCCACCCAGGATTTGTTATATGACTCGCATACGGCATTGGTCATTTTAAAAACAACAGCGCCCTGAAAGATATAAAATTGTATTAGAAATTTCGCAATTTCCTGTTAAAAGGTTTTACACTTTGAAAGCGTTTCGATAACAAGAGCAGCAGCCAAATAGCCAGTAATCTCCTCATGACTTAGCTGCCAACGGAAAAGTGCTGAGAATGCAGTGGAAATTATTATATATAAATATATAATAATTATATATATATATTACAAATATGTATATAAATATATTTGGCTTGGACAACAATTTAGACACTCGTGCCTGTGCAAATAATTATAACATAATTATTTATACGTTTGTAGATTAGCAGGTAATCAATCAATTCCTGCCCGTTAAATGACTGCCTCGCAGTTTCAGCACTTACAAAGTTTGTTTGCTATATTAAATTCATAATTTAACGATTGTGAGCTTTAAGGCTGACTTTGAAAAATGCCACAAAATGCATTCGATATTTCAAACCCTTAATTTTATAATCTATTCATGAAGCTAGTCCCACACAGTTGCGTTTATCATTGTAACTGCCTTGAGCAGTTAAGATGACCTTTGGGTCAGTCGGCGCGTAATAATTTTTTAAAAGTGTTTTCGGCTTGGTCACAGTGCGTTAACTTGGCCTTTACTGCCGGGCATTTAAGACATTTCCGCAACTCCCCGTAAGATATATGCGAATGATGCGCCCTAGCTAATTGCCTGCGTGTTTTTCTCCCACTTTATTGGCAAAGTCAAACATTATTAGATTCGGTAAACATACAATTTAGTATCGCTAAACTTAGAAGTCTAAGTCGGAAGTCAAGTACACGCTAAGTTTGGGGTCTGTCTATTGAAAATTCGTAGTAACACTCACCAAAGTAGATTGGAACGTATTGTTTTGTATAACATCTTTCTCGTTATTTTAATGGATGATGATGGGTGTGTTGCAAGGAAGGAAATAGGGCTGTACGAAACCTATTTTAATAAAGAAAGATATTATCTACGAATCTTACCCATTAATTGGTAAGGAATGTCAGACGTGCAAATATATTTAAGTCAGTGATGTCTCTGACTGTCATTCCCAATTTAATTGTGCATTGCATCCAATCTCCATTTCAAATTATGTTATTTTTATCCAAATGAATGACCGGGTATCTGGTAGTCGGAAAAGGCGGCTATTGTTAACAACTCGTACCTGTTTTCATTAATGGCCTGACTGCCGATCAACACCTGTCAACAGGCCCATAGCCGTCTCCGTGTCGACGTCATCCACTTGGCCAGTTGACTGCCGACCCCTCCGGATCCCCGATCGCCGGATCCGGGCCACTTGAAATGCATTTGCCTATCCCCGAGTAGAATTAATAGATTTTCATACTTTTTTGCGCTCTCTGCGAAGCACACGAAACCCAATCAATAAAGCACTCGAATGCGTTTAGCTGAATCGCTTTGGCGACTTCGACTTTATCCCACCTCCCAGAAGCGAGCTAAAACCGCTCGAAAACCCCCTGAAAACCCCCCGAAAACTCCCCCTTAGCCACCCAATGAAGATGTTGCTGCATGCAATTCGGCGAGTTTTTGTTTGCACGATTTGTTGCCGTGGCCGACCGTCTTTGAACCCGTTCTGAATTTCAATGGATTCCGTTCATCCATGTCCGTGTGTGTCTTCCAGCCAATGTGTCGGTAATTCTGCGCTCGACCATGACTGATACTTTTATACTCTCGATGAGGTATTCTATTTTTGCTCAGAATTGCGAAATAATACGAGAAAGTGATGTCAACGCAATAGTTGATGTAAGGGAACTCCCGATGTGCGTTTTCCACGAAAGTGTTTCTAAAAATATCTTTTCTTACCACTACCCAGATGTTTACTTTCAGATTAGAGAGTTTGGGACCTATAAATTTTTTAAGTCTACCGAAGCTATTTTAAATGCCGATCAAAGAACACTCTCAGCACGAAATTAACAAAGGAAATTTTATAGATATATTTATTTTTATTTTATATAGTAGTTGAAATTATATTTATTTAAATACATGTGCAATATGTAGTAAGCCTTTTATTTCGATCAAAATATATGTAACGCATGACTGCTTAAAAGGGTATTCAACCCATCGGCTCCTCAGTAAATATGCTTTTTATAAGAACATTTAGGAGTCGGAGGCGTACGCTGCGATGCGTCGAGTCATAAAATAAATCAAGGAGCCGACACCAGAGTCAATAGTAAATCACGGCTGAAACGGCAAATTACCAGACACTAGCCCTCTCATCATGGAAACTCTCCGAATAATTATGCGGTGACGAGTCGATTTTCCATACTCCGTATTTCGAATTAGCCCTGGCAATTACCTTTCGGATTTGCAGCTCTCAGACTTTGACTTTGATTTCCGTTGGCTGTTGTTTTTCTACTTTTGTTTGCCCGGCGCTGTTTGCTTGTTGATTTGCCAGAATATCGTACGGCAAAACCCGAATGACTTGGCAATTTGCTTTGGCTATTATCGCGATGATGGAGCGGGCCAGTTTTGGGGGTGCAACCGTTTAAACGAAATCGAGATTTCGGGCCGGATTCTTGAGCGACGAGCTCAAGCCCAAGGTCAACTTTCGTTTTTTTTTTTGCTCTATTTTATAGGGTTCTTAAAATCCGGTTGCGTTTATTGCAGTCTGCTTCTCACTTCGGCTAAATGGTCAAAAGATTATTGCGATACTATTCCGTCTGGGCGATGCAAGCTTCTTCCCGATCCATAAGCTTATTTTGCTGAATAGAAAACAATCACAATAGAACTAACTAATTTATTGGAGGAATAATCATAGCCGTTAAGTTATCACCTTAAAAAGAATTTAAATTAAACTCGGCAACAGTTGCTTGGCGTGGAAACAAACAAGGAAGTAATTGGAATTTTGAATAGCATTAGAGTCATGATAAAGAGAAGACCCAGACATAAGACTTATTTATTCCGTTTAAGACATTCGAAAAATGAATATATTTTAGGAATCGCATTGAACTTTTACCTTTTCCGTTAGTTGAGGTGAGAACTTGTTGAACCAATATAGAATAGAATTACCTAAATGCGGGTGTCAAAGTCAAATTTCGCACTCAATTATCAGTTTACAATTAACATCCTCTGTTAAGCAGTTCGACCTTTGGTGAGAGTAAGATTTTGATGATATCATATTGTCTGGAGTGACCTTTTGGCCCCTGTTCTAAAACTTTTACAGAGTAAATGAAAAACCATAAATCTAACATATTATTAAACTACAAATTACCATAAGTCTCTTTTTGATGTGACAGTTTGAAACCTTAACAAAATAGCAGCTTAAGTGAGTTACACAAGAGAAATCCAACCCGACTTATTAAGGCATCAAACAAGCTGCAATCCATTGTGCCTCCAAAACGAAGCAATTAAACATCACCGGCGAATCATGTCATTGTCAAGTGTTTGAACAGATCCGAACAAGATCGGATCATACCGGCGAAGTGTGCACTTGAGTGGCTTTTGATGAGGGCACCATTAATATGCAATGACTGGTTCGCGAATATTGCTTTATTATTATTATTTTGTTATTTTGCATTTGTCATTAATGGGCCTTTTGTTTCTGGTCAGTGCGGGATGTATTCGACTTTATAGACTCTGCGTCTGGCTTTGTTTGGTGTGAGAAGATACTGCGTCGAGATACAGATGGGATCGGCGACAAACATGCTGGGAACTACGTGATTGATGGCGGACCTGCGATTACCGCAAAACAGCTAAAAAGCAGAGAACCCCGTATAGAATGCTCCGGCGAATACATTATAGAACGCCGGGACATATGCGAAATCAGTGAAATCTTGTCGCGTCTAAAAAGGAAAATCACACAGCAAATGCAAAATTTATGAGCGAACTACGTCGAACGACGTCTCCGGGCGAACGGAGCAGGAATACCAAGTGGGCTGGGATTTCGATTGGGGCAGAGCGGATGTGGACTGCACTGGATGACTGGATGAGTCAGCCAGAGGTCCGTGTGGGTTCAGCCCTGTCAGCCAGATCAAACTATATAGTCAGGGGTCCAGGTTCCGCGATTGTGTCTAATTAATTTTGCTTGCTTGTCGAGGGCTGTGTAAATAATTATTTATTTTCCACAGTTTGGTTCAGCAAAAAGTCAAAGGTCCTAAACCGAATTTACTGCTTGATTCGATACAGTGCTTTATGAAAGCCTTTTTTCCTTTGGGTTAACGAGGTAGGCCACACTGCGTATGAGTAATTTTAAGTCTGACTTAAGTGTTTTTGGGATATTTTGTCACGGTAGGTTGTTAACCGGGCTCAAAATGAATTAATTGTTTCAAAATCATGGGTAATTTCTTGAAACTTTTAGCTTCCAAAGTCGGGCGTTCATTAGAATATATTACCATCGGGCATTTCAGGCATCGTATATCTCCTACCGCAAGTGACCAGCTTTCAAGCCCGCCTCTTTCTTTAATAGCCTGGCTTTACGAGGCTTCATAAAATTGGACTATTACATTCGCGCTGGCTAACATCGGTGTTCAGGTGCGGTAAGTTACATACTTCAATCCGCGGTCCGAACTGCGCCACTCAATTTGGCTTTTTTGTTGGCCGCTGCCGCTGCTGTCGCCGAGCTTGGCTTACCGCCCACAAAACGCTGCAGTCGCCGTCGCAGTCGGCGTTCCCGAACCGCCGAGCCGCCGAACCGTCGAACCACTGAGCCCCTCAGTCACTGAGCCACTGAGCCAGTGAGCCACTGAGCCGCCGACGTCAGTCAGGTGTTGTGGTTTTTGCAAGTCGCGCTCGAGCTGAGTCTGTTTTCGTCTGCCTGGCAGCGCGGTTCTGAAACGCGTAACGCTCGCGATCGTCTTGTCTCGAAAAAGCCAATTTCCAACTCGGGACTCCACTGCACTCGGTTTCGTATCGATTCGGATCGGATCGCGGAGCGCTCCCTGCCGCAACCTGTTGCAACTGTTTTGGAATCGCTCTTTTCGAGCCGCTTGTGCAACATTGCGTGCCGCCTTAAAAGCGCGTAAAGAGTATACAGTACAGTACGTATCGAAAGTGGCCACTCGATACAAAGGAAGCCCCGAGACTGGCAGCTTTGGTACATCCCTTCGCGTGGCGGATTATCGGGCCCTGCAATTAGCCAAACATTTGTCGAAAGCCGCACCGCATCCAATCCGTGGGCGTGGGATCTGTTTCTGTGCAGCCAGCAAATCGGTGAGTTTTGAATTACATGGGATTATGGCCAATCTGGCCCGGTGCTCCGGTAATCGTATGACAAATGTACGCTGCCATTACGTACACGGCAACCGAAGTGGCTTTCTAAAAACTACCCGAAACGAAACGAGTTGGATTCGCTCCGCAGGTCCAGGAGGGGCCGTCGAAAAGCTCATTGCTAACACACAGGCATTCACGAAAAAATGTGTGAAATTTCATTGAATTTCCCAAATTTCGTACACAAACAAAACAGCAATTGGGAAATAATTCATTGTTTTGCCATTGCAACGAGAGTTACGGCTGCCAAAGAATCGATAATCGCCACTCGGATTATTATATTACCTCGTGGTCTTTGTTATTTCAAACGGGTTTGCATGTGGGCAAACCCACCAAAAAAAAAAAAATAATTGATTAGATTGGGAAAAACATTTATAACTGGATCAGTACTCAAGCTCATGTTTGGATGTCCAGTTAGCACGTCACTAATTTGGAAGATTTAATAATCTCCTGACACTTGGGCTCAACATTTTCTGTTCGGATGAGGTCAGTTAGAGTAATAAAGATTACAATGAATTTAAGCTACTACTTGAATATTACATTTAAAGTCAACCCTTTTCTTGCCAAATTGAGACGAACAACGATTGAGCTTAAATGCTAAATAAACGAAATGGCAAGTGTTTTCAAATTGTTCAAGTTAAATATTTAAAATATTTTAAAGAGCTTTCAGCGAAATGGCTTTAGGGCTTTATTATGCATGTTTATGGCCAGAATTTAAAACGGTTTAAAATGCATACAATGATCAATTATTGAGTTGTCGATGTAGGCGGCATTAACCTAATTGGTCAGAAGTGTGCCATTTTGGTCACAATTTAACAGATTTCTTTTGATGTTAAGAAAGATTTAAGTTACGCATTAAAAAATGAAGAGATTTTAGAGGAATTTAATTGGAAATATCTTTATTGGCCAAATTAAAATGGTGATGAAATTTTGTTTACCTTGCGATTCGTGCTCGAGCAATAAAGACTTCAAAATTGAATTCCAACTGCCGACAATTAATGACTTTCGGGGATGTCATATCACGGCGGCAATTAAAGTTTCTAGATTCGACTATGTGGGCAGTTTGCAGGGAAAAACCGAGAGACCGACAACTCTTTAATTATTGAGCGAAAAAATAGTGCTAAGCTTCATGTCACAGCTATTCAATTAATTCGCAATTTATCAAAATACTCGTACTCGGCGTTGTCAGAGCCAGGGCTTTTTGATTCGGCCGAACATATTTCATTTGTCCACCACAAACAACTCGCATCCGAGGACGAGTGGGTGGCCCAGTGGCCCCAGTGGCACCAGTGGGCCGACGGGGGGCGTCAAGTGGAAAATAATCGATGATGTGCCCGGGCACAATGCAAACATTGAATCAAAGTCAAATAGCATTAAACTTTTTGAACTTGCGAGGCGGGCAAAAAATGAAATAATAATAAAAGTTTGCCCGCCTTGCGAGAGGCGTGAAAGCGCACACAAAAAGTGGGGTTTTTTGGTGGGTTTTGGGGATCTGGGGTTTTGGGATCCAACGCTGCAGTTTCGGCTGCTCCTTCCTCCCTTTTTTCATCTTTTTTTTTTGGATGAGTGCAGCGTAGCGCAAATATTTGACAAATCCCGCGAAAAGTCTGCTTATGTTGTCACCTCGCTTCGTTTTTCGCCTTTTTCCGGGATAAACGGGATGTGAGATGGTGGATACTGGATGGGATTTGCCGGCTGACTGGCACTGGGCCAGTCATCCTGATTAGGATTGGCCGGAAGACAGTTCGACAATGTATTTTGCATGCGAGAATCGCAGGCGGAATTCGCGTGTAATTTATATCTCGCACTTTGCGCAGTTTTCATTTCGCGCCCCGCTGTTCTCATTCTGTTGTTTATGCAATTGCGCCAGTTGCCTTGCGAATGCCGAAGGAGCCAAGTGCCCCAGACTCTGGCTAACGAGTGCAGGCGCGTGTCTGCCTCAGTATCTATATCTGTATCTGTATCTGTATCTTGTGGATACGTCTCGGGCCCCCTGGCCCACCTGCCCACCAGGTGAAGGCGAACGCAAATGCGCCAATTTGTATGCAAGCAGCATTAATCGAGGGGTAATCCGGCAGCGATGCATTGCCGCCGAAGCCAGAGCCCCTGCTTTCGACCTGGCCAAGAGGGGCTGCCAGCATTACGTGAGGTGTGCAATTGCACGAAATTGATTTGCAATCGATAAATGTGCGAGTGCCGCTTCTGCTGCTGCTTCTCTGCTGCAAATTAGCAGCCAAGACGCTCTTTGCCAGCATTTGCCGGGCGTGTAAAATATGCATAAATAACTCGGCGACCGCCTGGCCATGAATCCAATTGGGAACATCTTTGTTTTGCTTAGTAGCCAGCTCCGCTGAGTGATGTTTTCATTGAGTCGGAGCTTGTTTCCCAAGTGTTTGCACATTTCCCCTACCATTAATTCCGCGAACTGTCCTTTGCCGTGATGCTAAATAAATTTCAGGTGTGATAGGCACTTGTATCCAACAAGAATTGTATGGTACACATTTCTGACTAAGATTTTTTCTTATTCTTTTTTTATGCAGACACATACCACAAATTCTTGAGCAATCAATCTTAATTCTGTGTAATTACTTTGAGTAAATAAGAGCCTCATAGAAATCTATATAATTATGGCGACAGTTATATACTTATTAAAGCCAACACTTATCCCGAATTCCAAACACCACCCCACCCTCGTTCATCTACACATTGTCGTATTAAATTCTGCATGCTCATTTAATTAGTGTAATTCTGCTTCGCAGAGAACATAACTCTACTGATATGGTTCATATTACTGCTATTACTTATTTAACGAGCGCTGCCATACACAATTTTAAAATTCCGACAGTTTGGTTCGCTCATTGTGACTAGCAGACAGACAGTTGATTTGAGTTTAGTGGGTTTGACTATTAACGAAAAAATGTTGAACTCTCCTTCTAATGAGGTAATGTTACACCCAACTCTATATGAATTTACTCAATGGAAATCGCAATTCCCTTTCGGAGTGTTTGATGTCTGCAACAATATTAGCTGGGCTTACAAAATCCATCAACAGTTATGCAAAATGTATTCAGCACGCGGAGAACGCAAATAAATCGGTGGCTAATGCCATCAATTGAATTTCACTCGTTTTCCAGGCAAATTCAAGTCGTTCCTCGACCGAATGCGATTGTGTGCTCGCTTTGTGCTGCAAAAATTGAAAAATCAAACACAAGGAAAACCACTCGAGATTCAGCAGTGCAATCGATTGCAAAAGTGGTGGTGTTGGCAGTAGTAGCCACTGACAAGGTCAGCACTTTGGCTTTTTATTTGGGGCCCGGCGGTTGTCGCATTCTAGGCAAATCGCTATTTGCTACACGGATAAAAAAGTAGCATCATCGAAATGTTATTTTCTTTCGAGTCTTTAGAGTAGGAGTGGAAAGATAATTGTTTTGATATTTAATCAGATTACAACATTCTATTCTTGAAAGCCTTGAAAGATTTCATTTTGCTGGCTTAAGTGTGTTTCTCTCTGTGTATATTTTAGCTGCGACTGGTTGAATTGTCGAATCGTGGCCCGGCCGTAATACACGTATTAATCTTGCCTCGCTTCTTGTTAGATGTGGCGTTGTTTTTGCGGTGGCAGCTTCGCTTCGGCTTTGGCAGCAACAAGTGTTTAATTGCGATAAATGCACCTGACCGCCTTGAGCCTGAGCTTGGGCCGATACCGCGACTCGGTTCGGACTGGGTTTGGGCAAGGCTTTCTGCTTCTCTCAGAATCTTCGCTTCACCACTGGCGACTGAAAGGTCAGCCAGGCATTGAACGTGAACGTGGCCGAAACCCTGCCCGCCAAGTGGCCAATTCACTTAGCTGTTTGTCAACGCTTTCGGCCCAATTAAGAGCGGGCCCATAACTGCGGCACGGCCGTTTAGGCATAAACCCTGGCCATGTGCGTCCTGTAACGGCCTTTTAATTATGCATGTCGCTACGAAATGGTCGCAGCCCGGCTAAAAGGTTGGCCGGCGCAGGCAACTGGGTCATTACCATGGCCTGGCTTTGATCTCCTGCTGATGGGGCCGTAAAAGACTTACTCCAACAGGTTGTAAAGCAAGTGAATTGTCTTGAATGTAATGTGCCATAAACACATAAATTAGAGTTTGGCCCAGAGACGACGGCGAAGGCCTTAGAAGAGTTGGCTTAGGACGGCCACTTGCTGGCACTTATTTGGGGGCTTTCGACAGCGCCTCTTGACCTTTATTCCCCGCTTGGGTGGTTCGGGTCCAGTTAGGCAGGTTTAAACTTAAAGACATGAGCTGCCAAAGAATTCATTCATTCAGCTTAACTTAATAAATACTTATCTGCTTTTCGGCTTTGATTAACATAATATAGTCATTTCAAAACCCGACAATTAGTGTTTGATTTCCGTAAATGCAACCAGTGATGACTTTGTGTTCCCAGACTAATTGAATTATTGCAATTGAGGCCTGGTTCGTGGAGTGGAATGCTACAATACTTCGCCCGAATTCTGGCCAGTCATCTTGCAGCCGCAGATATCGAACGATGATTTGCATCATTTGGCAGGCAATAAACTGTGAGAGTCGGTGCTCGATGCCAATCGGAATCGGAAGTCACGCATGCCGCAGCCAGTGGCTCGGGTTGCCGGCAACTTCCTCGAGCGGCGATCGAGCGGAACCCTTCACCCGCCGGAGCCTCAACCCGTAGGTGGCCCACTGGGTCACGGAGTGGAACCCGCCGGAATGCGAGCCGCAGTGCGTGAAAGCGGGTAATAAGGGAAACACTGCCGCAAATTGATGCACTACGCAGTGCTACCTTTAATTGAATTATTAATTATGTGCCTTAATGAATGCATAATTGAATAATAAACTACGTGCCACGCCCCTTCTGTTGTTCTGTTCTGTTCTGTTCTGCTCTGTTGTGGAATCGTTTTGCATTTTTTTTGTATTCG